TTTTGCTCTTTCAAGAATCTTTAACTAAAAAAGTGTCTAGACCGAAGAATACAAAGCATCCACTGGCTCCGGAGTGGAAATCAGAGACTATTGTAATATTGAGAAGATGGTTGCTTCTTTCTTACGATATTTATGGACAAGAAAAAACCCTTGATGCCAAGAGGAGGTATCAAGCGATAAAGAAAGATTACCAGGTGAGTTTAGTACGGTCAAAACAAGAATACAATGCCAATTTCATTGAGTCCTCTCAAAATTCTTGTGCTGCCGCTTGGTCTGTCATCAAAAAAGAGGGGGCCCCTGCAAAAGCAAAACCAACTACTAGACTTTCTGCTGAGGAGCTGAATGATTTCTTCATTAATTCTGTCCAACAGACTCGGGATGCAATTGGTAGGCCTACCCCACCAACCCCCGCTGTAAACCTCCTAGCCCAGCATCCTAGACCAACATGTTCTTTTAACATTGAACCTGTCTCTTGTGAGAAAGTGCTATCTGTTGTACATAAGTGAATAGCTCTAGAAGTATGGATGTTTTTGATATCTCTGCAATCTTAATTAAGAATGTGATTTATCATATTGTAGTTCCACTCACCTATTGTATCAATCTTTGTATCAAGGAGGGTGTTCTTCCAGATGTCCTAAAAACAGCCAGAGTAGTCCCTGTCCATAAAAAGGGGAACCATGTGCCTGAAAATTTTAGACCTGTATCTATTCTCCCTGTGTTTGGTAAGATTTTTGAAGGTATAATTAAGGATCAAATGTTACCTTATTTTGAAAGTAATGGACTGCTTGTGTCAGCCCAGTATGGTTTCAGATCAGGCCGTTCCACAATCGATGCAGTTGAAGTTCTGACTGGGGTTGTTTTAAAATCATTTGAGAGTGGAGGCTTTGCTGGGGCCACGATGTGTGACCTCAGCAAGGCTTTTGACACCGTGGACCACAAAATTTTGCTTGACAAACTCCATTTTTATGGAGTTAGGGGTAAGGGTTTGGACTTACTGGGATCATACTTGGGCGGGCGCAGACAGTTTGTCTCTGTAAATGGTCAGTCCTCTGTTGTCAAATCTTTAACTCATGGCGTCCCACAGGGGTCTGTCCTTGGGCCCTTGCTTTTCAACATAATGATAAATGACCTTCTTTGCATTTGGGAGAGGGGGTTGTTTGCTATGCAGATGACACTACTCTGATTGGGGTAAATGATAACTTAAATGTCCTGCAGGGCACTATGTCTCAGGCTCTCCAAATGGCCTCGGCGTGGTTCCGAGCTAACTTTCTCTTCCTGAATGAGAGTAAGACTCAGTCCATAATATTTAGTCTTAGACAGCATAAGCAAGATGTCATAAGCGTTAAACTACTTGGATTAATGTTGGATCCTAAGCTGGATTGGAATAGTCACATATCTTTAGTATGTAGTAGACTTTCCAGGGTTATTCACTTGCTCAGGAACTTGAAGAACTCTGTACCCACTGAATGGCTAAGAACTGCCTACCTTATTTTTTTCAGAGCATAATTCTTTATGGTTTAAGACTTTGGGGTGGCACTCCGGGAGTCGAGAGGGTTTTGACGCTCCAAAAGGCGACAGTCAGAATCTTGGCAGGTGCTGATTTTCTAGACCACTGCAAATCTATCATTATTTCTGAATCCGTTATGACAGTGTACAGTTTATATATTTACCAATCTCTTCTGTATACTAAGCAGGAGTCAGGCTCTCTCGAACTCCGAAGTGATATCCACCCTCAAAATACTAGGAGGAAGGACGACTTGAATGTACCCTATGTTAGATTAAGAAAGGTCCAATCTAGCTATTGTATACAGAGATACAAGTTGTTTAACAAACTCCCTTGTACAGCTCTGAACCTGTCGGAAGCAAAATTCAAAAAGGGGATGGAATCTCTTCTGTTGGCAAATCCGATTTACTCATTCAAAGAGTATTTTGAAATTTCACCTGGCCAAGTAAGTAAGTTTTTTAGCCAATGAGTGCCAATGTGTGATGATAAATAAGTTTTGTTTTTGTTTTTCAATTCTCTGCATGGTGTGTTGCAGGCTTAGGCTAAGATTGATGTAGCCTATTGACGTTTCCTTGTACATATTATGCTTTCAGGAAATAAATCATTCTCATTCTCTCATTCTCATTGCCCTAGGGAAGTAGCTATTACCGTAGGTGGAATATTAAGACCCAGACCCAGGACCTATATACTTTTTCATTTTTATGTCCCTAGCCGCCAAAAGCACTATTAGCTCACAAATAAGTTCACAAATCAGGAGACGGAATGAGACCAATTGTTTCATGCATTAATTCTCCGACTCATCTACTCTCAAAATAGTTAGTACCTAAATGGTTAGTAGAAAATCTAAAAATTTTAGAACCATTTCCCTCATCTTATCTTACTAATATTATAAATGTAAAAGTTTGTGTGTTTGTTTGTTTGAAGTTCAATCACGCAATAACTACTGGACGGATTGGGCTGAAATTTGGCATGATGATGGCTAACACTCCCGATTAACATACCGTATATGCCTATTCTTATCTCAAAAAAATTCCTATTCTTTCAGGGCCAAAAATTATAGTAACCCATTTTTACCCCATAAAACCTCCAATAAAACCCTGTTCCTACGTAATATTAAACGTAGAGGTTAACTGTAAGATAGGACCATGAGGTCCTAAGTTCGCCTCGAAGGATTTTCATTGCATTTCGTTTCGTTTCGTTTCTTTCATTTCCATTTCATTTCATTTTCATTTTCATTTTCATTTGATTTCATTTCCCATGGTCCGATCATGCTGGTTTGCGCGCTCATTCTAGTTTATCCTGCTCTACACCTTCAAACCAAATTTTATCAAAATCAAACCAAAATTACTCAAGTTATTGTGTTCACGGACACATCTTATGTACGTATGAAAGAGGATGTTTGGTTTGTATAGGTACCGGTAGCCTATTTGTTTGTAGGCCTATATACAGGGTGGGGCAGGGTCATCCCTAATTTTGAAAGTGCATTAAAAGATAACTAAAAATGTTAGAATCAAACTTCATATTGTGATTAAAAGGTTAGATCTGGGAGTTTATTTTAATATAACTTTAGGCTACTTGATTTTAAACAGCATATCCTGCAAGTGGTGTCACTAATCATAAATGCACTGCTGTCTTCTAGTTCTGGAGTTCAACATAACTCTGTGAAGCATTATTTGTTGTGGGATGCGGCCAACTTCTTGGCAAATTGCAACCTTCAATTCGTAGGCCAGTTTCTTAACTAAGCTACGCTAATATCGATTGAAAATGTCAATTAATAATTGATATATTTAACTAAGTATAGTATCAATTATAAAATGAAACTGTCATAACCTAACCTCACTAACCAAACTTGCTGGAAAGTTAAAAAATTGAATGAAGGTTTTCAAATTGAATCGATAGCTTCAATGGATATTAGCGTAGCCTAGTTAAGAAACTGTACTCGCAAAAAGAAAAACATTATTCAATTCCATGTAAGTAAGTTTCCATGTGGCTTCTAGTTGATAATATGGAAGTAACTTAACCCTCCGAGTGTCATGCGTCGCTGCAGCAACGCGTAACACACTTTGTGTAGTGTCATGCGTCGCTGCAGCGACTCACGAACACTGTTTACGGCAAAGGCTCTATGGCTGACTGAATCGGATTGAACTGGATCGAGTTAGGTATCGTTCTTTTCCTTAAAATTTAAGCTTTCTCCAGAGGTCTGTCTCAGCGCTGTATGTTCTCCGAGCCGATCGTAATTGTAGCAGACAGCTGACGTGCGTATTCGTAAACAGCTTGGTTATCCTCGGACCGATGACTGATGTGTTTTATTACGTTTATCATTGTTTTAGTGTTAAAAATCAAAAGTAGTGATATACGTGGTGCATTATAAGAAGATTTAAGTGATTTTGAAGGGCTGGTTGATGATCCTGAAGAAGTAGGTAGTGATATTGATGTAAATTATCAGCCAGATTCCTAGCTATGGTTAGGCTATGCATTCTTAGCTAAACGCAATGTACTGAAATCTGTTTTTCACTCATAACTTATTTAAGTTATTTGATAACTTACCTCACTATGTGATTATATATTTGTAATCCTCATAAAATTTAGAACAAAGTGGCTATTTTCAAATATTTATAGGCCTATAATTTATACAATTTCATTGAGCGCGAACTTATTTTTTTTTGAAAATTTTCCAAAATTTTTCTTCTACCCAAAAAATTCTTTTTAAACAAATGTTCTTTATGTTTTATATATAGGCAGAGGATACGCGTCCGGTAACCGGACGTGGATTAGACGTCCGGCAATTACTGTCATAACCTAACCTAACCAACCAAACTTGCTGATAGTGAAAAAATCGAATTAAGGTGAAATTCTTTCTCTATAAAAAAAATTATTAATGCCAAAAATTCTAATAAAAGATGTACAGTTAAGAATAAATGGTATTCAATGCAAAACTCTTCGACAAAAAGTTAAAGTCATCAATGGGATTCGAACCCTGGACCTCTTGTATATCAGCCGAGCACCTTATCCACTACACCACGAACACCGATGGCTGGTCATTGTATTGTTGTGGTAAAGGCGTTCCAGGCTCCCGCAACCCCATGACGTCATTGCCGTACGCCTTATCCACGTCCGGTTACCGGACGCGTATCCTCTATGTTATATATAATATTGAAGCCCATGATTTTCCAAACAAAATGGTAGGTATATTAATGAACAGTATAATTAACATTGTTTTTAAGCTTCTCAGATCCGTTTTAATAAAACCTTGCAAATGAGCTAAAAATAGGCAGACATTAAGGCCAAAACAAGGGACACTCGGAGGGTTAAAAGCAATAAACTTAAGCTTCTCACTTCCACCTTGGAATCGATGAGATATCACTGTTTAGAGTACCAGTATGCCTGATAAAGCGTCGGTAGGAATTTGGTTAACTTTTTATAAGTCAAAAGAAAATCTCACACTGGTTATGGTTTGGCTACAGGGTAGGGCTGGATTTTACCTAATGTCCCTTACCTTGAGATCTGAGGTTTCCTCTTCAATCTGTCCCTCACTAATGCTTGAATTAACACCAGAATCTTCTAGTTTTGCCGATGAATATTTTTGATACCACCATGTAATAATAATGGATAAAACTGTAATTAAAACACTCGCAATATAATAAACTGACAAATTGATATTGTGTATTGATAAATTTTCAAGTATTGAATCATTAATCATTCTATAACGTAGGCCTAATGTTAAAATAATATGTTTTATTTGATCAGAGTAAATAATTTCTGGCTAGTGAAAATTTGAAAATATCTCGGTAAAATAAACATTAGGCCTATATTTGTGTTAAGTACTGTGTGACTGTGAGTGAAGACTGAACTCTCGAAGAGTGAAAGTGAAGCTCAGACAGACGACAGAAGCAAGCAGATGCTACCTATAAAATAAATAAACAAAGAACAAAAAAAAAGTCAACAGCAACAAAACTAACTTAGCAGAAATATAGAAAATCACAAACATATGACAGCAAAAAAGCGCTTTACTCTTTTCTAATTGTCAGCAGGCAATAACATATACCATGAAACTTAAGAACATGCAGGTATGTAAGTAGGTAGGTCTCATGGTCTAATTAATGCAGGTTCATGGTGGAAGTTCCACCATGAATGCAGCAATGCAGGTAGTAATTAGCATAGACTAACCAATACTAACTTAAGGTTGCCTTGGTACATGCAGTTGTCTGCTTCCAATATTGAGTGGAGCTAGCATATTATTGAAGGTTATTATTAATATGTGCAATATAAATAAATGCTATTACCATTACTGAACAATTAAAAAGCATTTTACATTTTTTGGCCTCTGGGTCTGGTCCCCTTTTTACTTTCTCCCCCTATACATAGTATATGGTGAAAGTATTGTTTTCGTCAAAAATTTTGAGTTTGAGCTTTGAGTGGATATATCCGTTTTGGGTCCCCCTGGACCCCCAAAAAATGTTTTCACCACACTATGATGTTTTTAGCTGTTTTACATACGTAAATTGGTGGCTGAAAGTTACGATTTGCTGGCCATGCCAGCTCTGTCATCGGCTTTGGGGACCGAGCAGGTTTTTACATCCCTATGGCCGCAAAATCAGCTACCCACATACTTTCTTAAAACATGAATGCATATTAAATACACAATCAGTATCCATAGCATTGTAATAGAATTTTTTTATTGTCACCGCTGCCTAGCAACTACTGTATTTATTATTTATTTTGCTAATTCCTCAAATTATTTCTTCACATAACCTTAAAGTTGTAGTTGTGTTGACTGTTAGTGTACATTATTATTGTGTGGAATAGTGGTAATAGGGTATAGTGTGGTGAAAAAAATTATTCGTACCACGGGCCGAAATGGTTTTGCAGCTCTCGATCGATTTAAGTTCTCGACTTCGTCTTGAACTTAAAAAACTATCTCGAGCCGGCAAAACCTAATTTTCAGCCCTAGGTACGAAATATACTATTTCATTACACTGTCTCAAAATCAGCTGTCTTACGGATCATGTTGAGTCCCTAAAGATAGCTTTTTGCGGACTAGTCCGTAAAATTTTACGGACTCGAATCATATGGTTATATTTTCACGTTCCATATGGTTATGTCTAAGCTTATTATCTTATTTCAAAAACAAATCAGCTGTTCTGATCTTTTGACATGCTTCAACAATATAAACAAACTTTGTTTGTTTCTTACATAACCTAATTCATAAGGTGTTGGTTATATTTTGTATTTTCTGCTATAATATATGACAATGTAATGAAAAATATTGTTCGTGAACTCGTCCTAAAATTCTTTTTTGCGACTTAATCAAATTTCCGGACTCGACAAAGCCTCGTCCGTTAAACACGGTATCGTCCCAAAAAGACCTATACTTTAGGGACTAGTAACGAAAACTACTATTTCGAAGTGGTGGGGAGTGATGTCTGTGTGTGTGGATATGTACAGAACTACCGAACCTGTGGTCCGATTTTGATGAAATTTGGTATGTTGGTAAGGTTATCTTCAAACTTTTTTAATTTTGATTTTTAATGGGGATTTTCCCATAAAAGCTCATAAAATAACGGATATATACAATTTTCTCAAAAATGGCCTGAACAATTTTGATAAAAATTTAGTATGTTATAGTCCTTTAGATTCTGAACATAATGGTACAAATCCCATTACTGTAAAAATTACGGTTCAAAAGTGATTGTACTTGTGTTACTTTCCCATAAAAATCCCATAAAATTACTAAAAATAAGATTTTAGAAAAAAATCCGGGTTTGATTCAAATTAATATGTTATGGGCCTTATAATTCGAAACAAAATAATGCAACCCCCATTACTGTAACGATTACGGTTCAAAAGTTAATGCAACTTTTGTGATTTCTTCCTACAATATTACCATAGTTACTCCCACCAAACGCTTCCTCTACACCACCGAGGCCGATGACTCAATACCGTATCGTTGCGGTAATGGTGTTCCCTCAAGAGAAGAGATCTGACAGCTGACGTCATCGAAGGCTCTTCTATACCTACCTTGAGTAAATACCGTGAAAAGTCGTCATATAAGCAACTAACACTAACTTCCAAATCAACTGATATGCGGACGTGTGTAGGTGTGTAGCCAGAAGGTGAGTCAGCCATCTGTATGGTCAGACAGGCCTAAGAAGGCACTTGGTAGATTAGGTAAATAGATAGAAAACGCTCTACTATTTTCGTAATAAATAATATATACGTAAATGTGTACCATAGGTACGATCAGGGCAACTCTCATGTAGCTGGTGTTTCGGTGGTAATGTTTGTAAAATGGATTTTTCACCCGTAATAAGCCCACTTTCCTTAACCGTCCATACCGAGCAAAAGAGTGCATTCAAGCAAAGAAAGACCCAACTAAAAATCACACAATCGACAACCGGAGCCGGTAAACCGTAACTGACAAAGCAGTCGCAGAGACAGTTAAACGTGGTTATAAACACAATGGAATTAATGTGGTTACATCAATAAAACTTAATTCTTATTCTACATGCACGGCATTTGTTCAAATTCAAATCTCTTTATTTTTGACAGTGAGAAAGTGGATATAATTGCATCAATAAGTATTTTTCATAAAACTAGTAAAACAACAGATTCTTATAGACAAAATATAAAAATACAAATCATTGTTACAGTAATATAAATCACAACAGACATAAAAAGTCCACGGCACTGTAGCAACATCGTCATCGTGACCAAAGAAGAGTCCTATAATAGTGTCCTTTACCAAAATTTTCCGCATGCTGTAGTTTCTATCTCCAGAGGAACTGGTAGTGCATTGAACTGTTTAATGCCATTGTAAAATAAATGGTTTTCAAAAAAATCTATGTTTAGGATGTCTAATATTGAACCGGCTTCTTATATCAATGTCTAGGTAAGTCTGAGGTAAACCGCAGGAGATAGAGTGAGACAGATTTTGGAACAGGTCAACATTTTTCTGAACAAATACGAGACGGTTCAAGTTATACATGTACGGAAAAGTAAGAACTTTATTCTTAACAAACGTTTTTTACAGGAAAATTTACGACGCTTCTTAAAAACTGTTCTGATGGTTTTCTTTTGCAATTTTAAGACTTTTAAATCACTCATGTCCCCAAATCGCAGCTGCGTATGATAGAAGAGGTAAAAATTCGTAGTAAGTCTCTACTAGTACTTTTCTTTTATCCCAAAAATTTAGGATTTCTGGACAAACAGATTTTATATTTCAGAAAAGTATTTTTCAATAATATTATGGAATTGAGTCGTATATCAATGTTTCGCCAGATTTTATATGGTATTATATCAATATCATACTACTGGCTTTCAAACATCCAACCCCTTTTGATTACCATCTCATTCTCGTGAATCATGATTGGTCTCTAAACAAAGCGAATGTCAAATTCCCTCTAAAATGCCATGTTTGAATTTGCCGCTGAAAATATTTATCGAACAAATTAACGTCTAGAAAACAATTATTACTAGTTTTATTTATTGAAAACTTAAAATTTTTTTTATTCATCTATATAAGATGTTTAAACTTAAATCTTCAATTCTTACAATTAAAAATCAACTAAGGTGTAAGTTATTTTTTTTTGTAATTGGGGCTAGCCTATTCTTATTCGTGAAGGACACGGACATGTTTATGTTATTTTCCCTCTACTAGTTTTCTTTCTTTCATCGTTTCATTTCATATTCCATTGGCATCAACGACACGTTGTATGCACCATTAGTTTAATAATTTAGCTACCAAAACTAACAGTTCCTTTTCATCTAGTTTCTTTTTCTTACTATTACATCCTTCGTTAATTATACTTACAAAATCATGCCAAACGCTACTGTTGAAATGTACATCCCCAACAAGGAAAATGCTAATCTAACAGAAGACTGTGAAATGCCTCTCTCAACAAAGAAGGTACGTAGTTGAGCAGAAAGGAATGGCAAATTAAGTCAAAAAGATTCAAGTCTAGCAATATTACTTTTTTAATGCTGTAAACTTAAATACCATACTTTGCATTGTTTCAGGTGGACCCAACCTTCAGTCCTAGTAAGAGTGTGGCCAGTCTTGCCCTGAGAGACACCACAAACATTATTAAGACAGACAAAACCAATGTAAGTAGCCTAGGAAAGTTGTAGTTTTGTAATCAAGTGTCCTGGTCTATAGGCCCTAACTTTTGTGGTTTCTGATTTATTTAACATAGCCTAAGTTACTTGTACAGTAGTAAGCCCGTTCGTAGTAAGCTTCGCACCTTGGTTGTCATCTTGTACTTCTATCTTCATTCTTTCAAGTGCTCCTTGTCCATACTCTCATTGTGTTACCACCTAGGCCTAGTAAGTTACAGAATGGGCGCCATTCTTATTAGGCCTAACTTAGTTATTAAAAGTCGCCAAATATAGGCCTTAGTGTTGATTTTAGGAAAGTTCAATATACTTTCTTATTGCACGGAGTAGGCATACTTTAATACTTTTCGGTGAAATGGCAACCATACAAAGTAGGTAGGGCCTAAATATGTTTGTAGGACTTTTCTTGTTTTTTTATGAATCAAACGATACCAGAAGAGTCATACAAAATCATGGTAACCTAACTGCTGTAACACGCTGTATAGGCTAAGGGTTGCCTCCCGTATAATACGAAAGTACCAAGTTCAATTAATTCTAAACTCTTGTTGCTCGGGTAGGGGATTAACCCAAACCTCTCTTACCTTACCCTCACCACTAGGCTGCACAGCCTACCCATTTCTTCTCATCCAGGCCGTAATGAATTTGTTCAGGCGATGAGCGCATTTATTGTACATTGTTATTAAACTTAATAGGGTGATTTAACTAAGTTACTTCAACAACACTTTTTTATTGTACGACAAATGACAATTCTTTATTGCACATAACATCTGATTCAATTATTACAAACGTAATACACAGGCAGGTACATTGTCAAGGTTTCTAATAAATAAGGAATTCTAAATATATAAAATACCCCCGCCGCAGCAAACCTGCAGACTAAGCGAATTTCCATTTCCCTGAATGGATTTACACTAAAATGTCTCCTTAAAATTATCACATTTATTCCCTATTTAAATAGAATCAGTTTAAAACATACTTAGGTTTGCTGCAACAGGGAGGGTAAAAGTGTTTTTTATGTAAAATGTTAATAGTTAGTAAGAAATAAAAACATTTTCCAAATTTGGGCAAAATATGTTTATAAACAAGCAAACTACAACAGTTTACTTATTCTCCATAAGAATAACATGGGAATTTTAAATTTACAATTTTTTGGAATTTTCTCCGTAACCATTAGGCGCATTATAACGCTTCAATATACTAAATTATTTGTTTTTTTAAGCTCTACAAAATAGTTTCGAAAGAAATTGCAAAATTTTATGTTTTTTGGGTCAAAAATGGGAAAAACCCATTTTTACCCCATAACAGCCCCCATAAACCCCCGTTCCCATGGTCCGATCATGCTGGTTCGCGAACTCGTTCGAATAAACGTAGGTTTACACGTTTGTACCAAATTTCATCAAAATCGGATCATTTTTGCTCGAGTTATCGCGCTAACGGACACATATATATATATATATATATATATATATAAATTTTGTTATTGTATACATCAATGAGGGCTACTTTAAATGTTACTAAGCAAATCAAAATACCACAGTACCCTAAAAACATTTTATTTTATATTACTTACATGTTTCGGACATTAATGCCATGATCACAGTATAGTATATAACCTATATACTATATATATTATATACTATACTGTGATCATGGCATTAATGTCCGAAACATGTAAGTAATATAAAATAAAATGTTTTTAGGGTACTGTGGTATTTTGATTTGCTTAGTAATATATATAAATATATATATAAATATATATATATATGAATTTGAACGGATGGTGTTTTTGACCTCTAGGGACCTCAAAACGAAAAAAAAAATCGGTCCCGGGTCCAGGTCTTACCGTGAGTACTACGGTAATAGCTTATTCCCTATATGGGAAATTCGCTAAAACCTAAGATTTAGCCAGGAAGATACCCCTACAAAAGCTACAACATGGTGGAACTGTTTATGTTAGGAGAGGTTGATTAGAGAACGGGTGTCTGTTACCAGGAGTCATTGAAAAATTCCTTGAGAGTGTAATATGCTTTTTCTATTAAATTCCATGTTGATGGCCCCTGGATTACTTTATATGACTATAATAATGGTATACCTCGTCAAGTAATCCAAATGTTGTTTGAGGTTAACAACCTACATGTTTCTAAACTAAACACGTTAGAGGAGTTTGAAATTTACAAATTGTACCACGACAACACTGCCAGTGGACATATCCTCAAACGAAAAACTGCAGTTCCAGTCACACTCTATTTTCAATGTGCTAATTCACCAAAATAACCGGCCACCTGACCTTTGTCCTACTCTACTGATAACATGGACAACAACGAGGAAGGAGTCTGAGACTGCAGTCTATTACCTGCGCCGGGACCGTCCGTGTCGTGTGCGTGTGATAGGCCTATCAATGTCAATTAAATGTTTACTTTGTCTTTCCGTAATTAAATGTTCGTATTCGTGTATTTATTGTGTGCGTGTGACATCGATGTCTTCGTTTTTGTAACCCTGACGATGCCGTATTTACGGCGAAACATGTAGGTTGTTAACCTCAAACAACATTTGGATTACTTGACGAGGTATAGTACCATTATTATAGTCATGCTTTTTCTGCTAGAACAGTTTTGATTTTGTCTGTAAATTTTGCTAAGTTTAATGCTTTGACAGTCGGTCGCCAGTTTTTAGCCGTCCACGCGCCTTAATGTTTTTGTGTCGTGTCCGTGTTTTGTATTGTATGTACTATTTATTAAACTTTGACGCAATGAAAATGTAGAAACCACGTAAAAAATGTAAATAGTTCAGATTAGTGTATGATGACTACGCACCCGACGATGGAGTTATCTCCAAAATGGCCGTAGTGCTCAATTTACAGGATTGCAAAGACTGTAAGTAACCTTTATAGTTATATTTTTACAAACATAGCTTCAAGGTTAAGAGGGGTTACAGTAGAGTGCTTCCCTATTATTCTGAAATTGATGTTTTGATTGAAACTGGACTCAGCTGTCCTTAATCCTCCAGAAAGACTATTTTTAGGCGGTTTAATTCCGTCATGTTTAATTCCGATATGGTCTGCTGTGTTGGCCGAGGCTGCCTTTTGGTAATAGTAACCTAGGTCTTTAGCAAATTAAGTTATAGGATATTTTTTTTTTTTTTTTTTTTTTTAAAGAGGTTGGCGGCCTCTTTTAACCTTGCATTTGCCCGTCCACATAGACTATGCGCCCGTGCGTGGATCATTTACAGCAAAGCAAGGAGTGAGCCGGTACAGTACAAAGGTGAACTGTACTGATAAAATGTTATCGGCAGTGACCAGGATCCGAACCCACGACATCGCTGCCTTGGGCCCGAAGTCTGCGACGCTACCGACTGAGCCACCGACTCACTAAAGCCATATTAAGTCACAGCATATTACAGGGTGCCTACCGCCCCTACCGGTCACGGAAATCATGGAAAAAGTCACTGATTTTATTAAGGGTTCATGGAAGTCACTGAAAAGAAACAAATTTTCACTGTTTTTGTAAGGTCTCAAAAGTCACAGAAAAAAATCAGGCCTTGTTGACATAAGTTCTCTAGGCCTGTCTTTTGTTTTGTCCCATGCTACAGTCAATGATAAAATTCATTATACTGTACATAATCAGTGAGAGTGAAAATATTTTAGGAGCAGGCAACCAGCTCAAATTGTTACAGCACAAAATATTGTACATGCTTGACTATCACATGTTCATAGAAGAGAATTTGATTTTGGTTCCAAAGGTTGTGCATTTTCTTTATTGTGTGCGTTGTCCCCCCCCCCCCCCCCCCCCACCCGAAGTCACTGAAATTTTGCGTGATCGACTGGTAGACACCCCCCAAATTTGATTCCAAGTGTTAAAAGTTGAAATAAAAAACCGGATGAAATGATATTCCTCAGGGAGAATTTTTGGAAAATACCTTCGAGGAAATAAATTCAGCAAAATTTATTTATTTATTTCCTTAGGGAAATAAATTTGAGGGGAACTCCAATCAGGTAAACGTAAATTCGCGTATTATGTGCAGGTTCGCTGCAGCGGGGGTATTTTAATTTAAAAGCAAGTACACTAACAATCATATTTTAATGTTCAGTCTACATTCTTTTAAGTTACTGTACCGCATGTTTTATGTAGATCTTAGGAAAAAGGTAGTATGCAATCCAGTGACCCTGCCTCAGTTGGTTTCTTAGTTATCATGAATTTTTTTTACTAAATCAAGATAAAAAAAAGATGTCAAGTTACATCTGATGTTTGTAGGTTAGATATTGTTAGTATAGTTTTAGGTAGGTACATTTGGTAAATATTATAGCCTACAGCATTTGTAGTAAATTTAGTCAGCAAAATGATCTAGGAAGGAATTCTGTTGTTTAGTTATGTAAATATTATAACTCCATAGTAAGTTAAAGCTATTTTTTTAACAAGATGTTATGTAACTTAATTAGTTTTTGCTGTGTTTGGGAAGTGTATGAATAATTTACATTTTAGCTCAATAAATCATGTTTTTATTTTTTTCTTAAAGTATCATAGGTTATGCTATTTATTAACTAGCATCTGAAATCAAAATGCTCCAGTAGACTAGCCCTTACCTAAGATATTGATTCGGGCCTACTTCTGTCTGAGCCATACAAAAGCCACCACAAGGAGCCAAGGGCATTAATGAATCCATCCTTGACAAAATGTATTTCATAATATTGCAACCAAAACTTAACCAGCGGCATTTACACTATACAACTTGTTTTTTAAGTTGTTATGTGTTTTTCAAACATGTTTAATACAATTTTGTTTTAAAAACGATCGGGTTCAATACCGAAACATAGCTTTCATACATTCTCCTATAGCTAACTGCAATGACGTTTATCTTATTTACTAAACTTAACCTTAACTCCTTACCTATGGTGTTATTAAAGTGGAAAATGTAGAGGTTTTAACTGGTGGCCTAACATCTTAATGTACTCAGTTTTTTTGTCGTTTGTATCGTTGTTTATAGTCTATCACAGCATTAAGATAATGGTTTTAACGAGTGATTGAAATATATTTCTCTTGTATTTTTTATGTTTAAAAAGCTTATTGTCACTAAGCAAATTGAGACCATTTAGGCAAGTTAAAGTAATAACATTATGTAAGGCTATTTTGCCTTTGGTAGCCTCGGCATTATTCAGAGTTTTGATATGTTAATACCGTAACTCACACATAATGGCTGTTTTAATCATAATTAACTTAGACCATGGTAAAATACGCACATAGTGGCGTCCCTATCTTAAATAGGAATTGATTTTATTATAACTCAATAACTCCTTTATTCAACCAAAGTTAAAAAAACAGATTTGCATTGGTCATGTCAAACAAAATACATCTTTATGTCTAAAAATTGAAATAAAACAATTGTTCTTAAATCAAACAAGATAGGCCTATATTATTTTAAGTTAATTGATTGGTTGATTAACCAGAATATACTAAAAGTAAAACACTTAATATATTTCTTATGACAATTATTTTTAAATATAAAAAAATATATCTCACTACCCTTAATAGTTTAAACATGGACCCAAAATGTTTTAATTTGTAGGCCTACATTAATGTATCTTAATTTGTAAAATATTCCTCTTAATAGTCATATGCCCTAATGGTTTTAGTTACAGCAATTATATTTACAACACTGATAAAAATCTCAATTATTTTTCCAGTATTTAAAACAAGACTGGCTCATAAACTTGAAGTCACCCCAATTCTTCAGGAGGTTTAAGTCATGTGAAATAAACAAATCTAAATATTTTTGCAGGTAACTACTCACAGGCTACTTACTACAGTGCTCTTAAATGCCATTTGTCGTGAAGTTAACAAAACAGAAGATGAATTGTTGTTTAAATATTGCTGTAAGAAAGGTGTAGGCCCATAGTTTTTCTTGGTAGTTATTGTTTTAACTAGTAAGTTGCGTTGTCATGCAGGTTGTTAAGAAGCTGGCCACGAGTGAGCCGGCCTTTGACCCCCAGCTGGAGCCTTTGCTACGAGAAAATCCGCGCAGGTTCGTGGTTTTCCCCATCGAATATCATGATATCTGGCTTATGTACAAAAAGGCTGAGGCCTCATTCTGGACGGCAGAAGAAGTCGATCTTACAAAGGTAACTTATACAAACTTAGATAAGGTTTGTTTAAATAAATGCAGATTATTTGCAACTCATCTTCAATTATTAGTTGCTTTACTTTAAGAGTTTAAGATTAGTTTTTTTAAAGTTTAACAAAATGTGTCTCTCTATAACTAATTGTCTGACAGCAAAACCTTATACTATAGTTTTAAAATAACGCCTGCAATACTTCGCAATTGCTCGAATTCGAGCAACAGGTACACTAGTATTGATAAAACGAGTTGCTGTACCAATAGTAAACAAAGAATTCTTATTATTATTAATATTTTTGCTCAATATATAGGCCTACATATCTATATATATAAAAGGCAAAGCCCTCACTGACTGACTGACTGACTGACTCACTCACTCATCACTAATCCCACTTCCCATTTACCTAGGAGGCTGAAATTTGGTACACTGATTCTTTAGGCATTAAATAGGAAAACTAAGTAGTTTTTATTCTGATCGGACTCTCGGGCTCCGCCCCAGTGGCTCGGGAGTTTCCCAGGTTAACCTTATGAGTACTCATATTTAAATGGAATTAATGAATCTTAACAGCTGTTTCAATTAAACAAGTTGGTTCTGTTCTATGATGTGCAATAGCATTAAAGTTACGACGATTGCCAACAGGGTGCAGCACTATTATTTTTTTTTTAATTTATGACAGCTAATTTGCAACCAAAAGGTGATTGAGCGTAGCGAACGAACTTCAACCTGGAGGCGAGTTAGCGTAGCGAACGAGCTAACCTGAATCACAGAAAACGTACTACTATCCCTGAAGGCAAGTGAGCGCCTTTGGGATCAACTTCAATGCAACAAATAGAGAAACATCACTCAATAACGGCTGAACGCATTTCAGCCAAACTTAACAAAATTACTTAGACTAATAGAGAGATGGTTTTTAAACAAACAAATTTCAATTAGATAATGCTAATGCAATTTAAAACGAACTTAAAATTTCCAATTTTTAACATTAGGCTTATGGGACTAAAGTAGCCATATGACAGTTTTTTGTTTACAAGAAAAATGTAAACAAGAAAATCATAAGGTATTTCTGAACTTTCTAGACTTTTCTTTTAAACGTTTTTAAATCATTCCTATGATCTTAATAAACAAGAAAATACCATTAAAACATTTTTTAAGGCGCGGAATTCACTACAAATTGCGAAAATAGACGGAACTAATTTCTCAATGCGCGGAGCATATCGAAGTGACTACTTACTCTTGGGCACCTATTTGTGTTGCCAGCTGATTAGAAACAGTCAATGTTAGAAATAAGGATTTAATAAGCGATATATCGAACCGCATCGAAATCGGAGCTCCAACCTAAACCTTCAACCAGGACGTGATTGAACCATGCGAACGAGCTCACTTATGAAGTAAAACGGGGCAAAGCCCGCGGGTACAGCTAGTCAATATATATATTTATAAAATATCAATAAGCTCTGCTCTAGGTATATTTTATCATATATTTTTTTCAATAGTAAAAATACACATAATTATAACAACACACATTTCAATTCAAAATTACAACATATCTGTTTATTTACACTTTTTATCTTGGAGATTACGTGAGTGATAGTCATTGAACAGCAAGCCGCTCCATTAAGATTTACTCAATGATTTATTACATAATGTAACGTAACTTCCCATTTATTAAAGTTGTTTTCTAGCGGCGAATCTTTTTTTAAAGTACTGAAACATAAATAGTAGTAATGTATTATTTATTTTTAGTTTATATTATAGCCTAAACATGTCTAAAAAAGACTTATTTTAGCCTTTTGTTGTTTGTATTGTGTAGGTTACATCTGTGTAACCACAAACATGACCCCTAACACATGATCCAGTTTAGTTAATAGATACTTTGTTCGATCAGTAGTTATGCAGTAAAAACTTTTTGATTGCTAATCATTCCTAGTCCCAGTTTTTATTGTATATGTCGCTTCTATGTGTAAAGAACGGCATTGTAAAATCCCAAGAATTGTTCTGTCTCAAACAATCTCACTGTGCCATTTTATAATAATAATTTATCAAACATGTAAGTTTTGGCAGTATGATATCTAACTAAATTATGATTTTTACAGGACATACCCGATTGGGAGAAACTGAACGAAGGAGAACGCCATTTTATCTCCCATGTGCTTGCTTTCTTTGCAGCTTCTGATGGCATCGTCAACGAGAACCTTGTTGAGAGGTAATTACACTTTTCCATTTATTTGGCTGTAAAATTTACACTTTTCATCAACTGTTATATAATCTTATAGACCTATCCTCTGTGATTAATGGTTGAGACACAAATTTGGGTTGTTGACAGTTGTGATTGTCTACTGAATAAAACCAAATTACAATTAGCTTTAAAATTGTTGGTTAGGGTAGGTCAGGTAATCTACCCTAACCAAACCTAACTGTATCTATCCAAAACTAGTTTTTGAATGAAAAACCGTTGCATTTTCATTTACCAAAAATAAAAATAAAAATTAAACTATTATAGCCTATTCAAGTTCTGATTTCCTAAATTCTTAAGGAAAATTGAAGACGATATAAGTATTTTAAATAATTGTAAGAAAAGCAGTGATGAATACTTATGAAGAGTCATATTTATAAGGGAAAATGTGATTATATAAATACTAGCGAATTAACGAATAAATACGTTTTAACTCCAGTTGTACTTTTTAGAAACTTCTTGGCCCGAATTTTTGATAGCTAATAAGTAGGGACACCATTGAGATTCTTGTCATTTTCTTATTGGGCTTGAAAGTGTTCAATCAAAATCAATCATCACTACCATATTTTGTATACAGGGTGTCCCACGAAGAGCTTTAAACATTTGATTTTATATTACTTGCCCATTTATGCACCAAAAATGTTGAAACCTTGCACATTTAATGTTAATAAAGTAAGTTTTGAAAATATTCTGGGAAAATTTCAGCTCCCTAACCCTTGTAGAAACAAAATCGTTCAAAATGGTGTTTTTGGTTTTGTAAACTAATTTTATCACCACATTCTAGGGAAATGAGGCTTTTCAATAAGGACACTAGAACACAGGCTAATGAAAAACCTAAAATCCTAATGGTTTTCCCATTTAACTCACACGATACCAGTTTCCTATCTGCGTTGTATATGCAATTACGATAAACAAAGGTCAGGGACAAACCTTTATGAAGGTTGCACTGAAGCTCCCAAAACCGGTCTTCTCGCAGCATGGGCAACTATATATTGCACTCAGTCGTGCAAAAAGTTATATTCGACGCAACAAGGGCTTTCATTAGGTACAGAAACAGAGAAACAATTTGTTGACGGTGAAAGTTCCATCCATAAAACTAATGTCGTTTTTAAAGAGATTTTGTAAACATTTATCTTAATTATTTAAAACATGTTTTATATGTAGCTTTATTTTTCTGTCATTGATTAGCTTTAATACCAAATAATTTTCATTCAAACATTCAAAATATCCTAATTTATTATTCTTGCGAATTAACACGGGTTCACCTAGTTAGACTTATTTTATGTACTTTCTATTAAAAAACTATTACAGTCTAGATGTATTTGTTCAGTTCTTTCACCTAAGTTTTCTTTAGCCTGTTTTGAACAGCTGATGATTTTAAAATGATTAATAATATTGTAAAAATAAATATTCCTTTCTGTTCTTCTTGTTAACATGGTTTAATTTTTTTTTCTCTCTTAATATTTCATTAATACTCACAAACACTCCACATTATTGGGCCTGAAAATTAGTTTTTCTCTGTGCCGTTGCTGAGCGCCGAGTTTACACTAACATTTTTTTTTCAAAAGGTTAAAAAACTGTAGTAATAGGTTCTATGGTAGGCTTACATGGTAGTGATAAAGTTAAATTGTTTCAGTGCAATTTCACTAAAACTTTATAGACTAAAATAAAACATACCTCGTCTTGCAGTTCAAATAGTGTGTTTTTTTAATCCACTACATGTTTCGCCATGTTGGCATTTTCAAGTAGTACACAGAAACATTGAAACATTATACCATCCGAATTGGACTTGTCAAGTTGTAGAAATTTACATTTACACATAAATTTACACATAAATTTCTACAAGTTGACAAGTCCAATTCGGATGGTATAATGTTTCAATGTTTCTGTGTACTACTTGAAAATGCCAACATGGCGAAACATGTAGTGGATTAAAAAAACACACTATTTGAACTGCAAGACGAGGTATGTTTTATTTTAGTCTATACTAAGCAGTTCAGGGGCTAAAAAATGGAATTTAAAACTTTATAAATCACAAAAATATTTGAGTTCATTTTTTTCCCTACAACTTCACCAAAAAATAAGAAATAATACTATTAGAACTTGGGAATTTATCAATCCTCTCTCTGTTGGATTGGGGAGAAGCAATTTTCTGCAGTAAAAACAATGATTTTTATTTTTTGTAGCAGTGATCTAAGTTCTAGTTTAGCCAGCATTATTTAAACTATTCATGATATGGATCCAACTCCTTTTACCATAAGATAGTTTATATAAAAATCTAAAAAATTGTCTCTAAATTTATCTAATCTGCAGATTTGTAGCAGTGGTTAGAAAAAGTAATTCAAGTGTATCCATCAAGATCATAGATTTTTTAATTCCTAGTAAAAAAACTATATCCCTTTCCTACCAAAACCTCTCTTCCCAACTAAACCTTCCATAGTTAACGATTATGTCAGGGACAGTAAATTATTCTAACTGTTGTGTATATTGGGAAGTTGTTATATTTCTTGTGCTTGGGTGGACTCTCCTAGTCAAGTCAGGTAAGCCTGCTCCAGACGACACGTTGGCCTTTGTTCTTTACGTTACATCTTTAACCTACGGATTTGTAATGTTCTAATTTGATCCGTAGGTTCAGTCAGGAGGTGCAGGTTACTGAAGCAAGATGTTTCTACGGCTTCCAGATCGCAATGGAGAACATACACTCCGAAATGTACAGTCTACTGATCGACACGTACATCAAGGACTCCAAGGAGAGGTGAGTGCAGTTAAAGAAGAGACACTGTCACAACTAAACCTTCCTGTTGACTGATAACTAGTGATGATGTGTCGATACCAAAATTTATCAATTCTCGATATCAATACCATTCTTATTTTTAATTTTACCAAATTTTCTAGATGAATTGGTTACTTTAATAACCCCTCTCTTCCATTGGGTAATTTTGGGGTAACGGGGTGTTTTTTCAGTAAAGAAAAAAATTATGCAGCAATTAAAAATTCCGATTATCCCCTGTGTTCCTGTATGTATAACGTCTCTGGCAAAATTCTGACCTTCTCCCACAGTTGTATGGACTTCATCGTCTCCTGTGATCGCAGCAAATCCTAATTGTTTCCTACGCTCATGTAGACATCATCGTCTTCTTTTTATCGCAGCAAAATTCTGATAATTTCTGGTGCTTGTCTGGACATAGTGGACATATCATTGTCTCCCGTGTTCATAGACAATAAACTCCTGAAGTAATGTATATATTTATTACATATTGTAGTTAGCGTCAAACTAGACGGTTTCAACATATAATTAATTAATTAAGTAAATTTTCTGGCTGGTTAATCAACTTAAAAATATCAAAGTGGAGGATGGGAGGACTTTTTCTATTTTTTTCTTTTTTTAAATTATTATTGCCTTAGTAGATGATCACTTACCTAGTTCAAAACTATCCTACGTCATTTTTATTGCCTACATATTTTTAATTTCCCAATAAAACACCGGTTTTTGGAACTTTTTGCGACATTACAGTACAGATATTCATAAACATTATAAATGTATTCATAAATTTATTCAAAAATGTACAAGTAGGCCTACAATGAATTGTCTATTCACAATATTTTAAATTGTAAAATCCCTCAAAGGAGTAAATTGCTTTTTCTACTAGGAATTTCTTTAGTTTAAAGTGAAACATCCTACTATTACATTCATTTTTTATATCTTTTGGTAAAAATATCTTTTGGCTTTGAACTCACAGTTTTAGCTAATTCACATTTTCATTGTCTGTTCTAAATTTGATTAGGCTACTGGTTCTCATGATTTCTTTTGCTCTAGGGAGTTTCTGTTCAATGCAATCGAAACAATGCCTTGTGTAAAGCGCAAAGCTGACTGGGCTCTGCAGTGGATTGCCAGTGATACGGCTACGTTCGGTGAGCGAGTTGTCGCGTTTGCAGCTGTCGAAGGGATTTTCTTCTCCGGCAGCTTTGCTTCCATCTTTTGGCTGAAGAAACGAGGGCTCATGCCTGGTTTGACCTTTAGCAACGAACTCATTTCTCGTGATGAGGTTTGTACCTTATTCTTTTTGATCTAAATTGTAGCTGTGGAAATGGTGTTAATTTAGTTCACATTTTATATGGGTGTTGTAAATATACATTTCATCCATTTTTTAAATGTTTTTTTATCAGGGTGTTACAATCTGTTGTCCTACAGTTTATGGACAAATTTAACTAAATAAGTTTAGGAAAATGTATGTCTTTACCTCAATAGTAGTTAGTGGGACAGGCTACAAATGCGTGGCAGAGGGGGTTTACGTCCTAGTGCCTGCGACTAAATTTTACCACTACACTTAAGTCTTGTACCATGCCACTTTCCCCTTACCTTTTCTTTCAAAGGCAAAGTTAAAGAGGCCAACCTAAAAATATATACATTTTCATTTTGAATGTATAACATCTAATTAAACTTATTTCCAGGGCTTGCACTGCGACTTTGCCTGCCTCATGTTCAAGCACCTGGTTCAGAAGCCGTCCGAGGAGCGAGTACAGTCTATAGTCAAGGAGGCTGTGGTCATAGAACAGGAGTTTCTCACGGCTGCGCTTCCAGTCAGTCTCATCGGAATGAACTGCGACCTCATGAAGCAGTACATTGAGTACGTGGCTGACCGCCTTCTCTATGAACTCAAGTGCTCAAAGGTTAGTGAGATATTTCACTTTAGTTGGATTTTTTACTGTTGTATTATAAATATCACTTAGTTTAAATACAAAGTTGGGAAATTTGTTAAGGGCCATAGTTTTACAAGAAACAGTATCAACAAGTTCAAGTTTATGGATTGAATAAGTTTATCATCAAGTTTATGGCTTGAATTGCTGCTTATTTTGTTCACAAACCAATGCATTAGGCCTAACGTCTTGTTCGTAGTGTATATTTTGAGTTATAAGTTTACTTAAAACTTGAAAAGATGATTTTTTTTTTCAAGTTAATTTAGTATTTTTTTACACTTAAATATCATTTGTCTTTGACTAATTTTGGAGTACTTAAAAAAAACTAAATTAGTTTAACTTAAGCTAGGTTAACTTATGAAATATTTATTTTTCTATTTATTAAGTAACAAACAATACTTAGTAATTGTTTCAAATAATAAATCATGTTGGTTCTTTGCAGGTCTACAACTCAGAAAACCCATTTGACTTCATGGAAAACATTTCACTGGAAGGAAAGACAAACTTTTTTGAAAAACGAGTTGGAGAGTACAAGAAAAGTGGAGTGATGGATGAGAGAAGCGAGAACGTCTTTGCCACAGAAGCCGATTTTTAAAACAGCGTTCCACCATAACATAGTGTCTTTCAAACAAACCAATGCTGCCTTTTAATTATTAAGTTCTTTATTTTAATTTGAAAACAAGCAATAACTTCAGTTGTGTACTTACAACCTGAGTTGCGAATTTACTATTCCGATAAATTGTATCATCCTCGGTTTCTTGAGTCTTGTGTTTAAACATGAAGTATGATTCCTGGGAATAATTAATCTATATAGTTAATCTGTAAGAATAGTTAATCTGTGGCCAGTTAATTTTGTCATTTTATTTTTCAAATTTTTCTGTTGGAGGAGTTAATTTAGCAAATTTGTAATTTTGTCTGTTGTAGTTGTAAAGTTTGTGAATAATGGTCAATTGTCTTGTATGTAATAAATAGCAAAGAACACTAATATACATAATAATTGTAAATTAACGTGTGAAGTTATATTGTAGTACGATCGCCTGACAGCGTAGTATGTCAGTATAAAACTATGTATACTTTCTGAAAGGAAACTATACTTTTCAGTATTTTAATTGTGATTTGTATATTTCTCTATATTAAAGAAGCTTTTGTACACAAATTCTTGTATAAGTTTTATTTTCCTCCAACTTAAATAGTTTTACAACACTTGGTTAACAAAATTGTACAAATACCATTTCCGCAAAATTTACGATTCAAAATTTATTGTGACTTATATTATTTTCTCATTTAAAAAATCTGATTTTAGAAAAAAACCAGTTTTGATTACAATTAGAATGTTATGGTCCTTTAAATTCTGAACAAATTGGTACAAATACCATTTCCTTAAACATTACGGTTCAAAAGGTATTGTAACTTATATTATTTTCCCTTAAAACACCATAAAAAACAGAAAATTAAATTTAGCCATGAAACCGGTTTTAATTAAAATTAATGTGAATTGATAATTATAAAAATACCCCTACCACAGCAAACCTGCAGACTAAGCCAATTTCCATTTGCCTTAATAACATTAGGTATAATGATTACCTAGGTTTGCTGCTACAGGGAGGGTAATAAAGTGCATTTTTAGTAAAAAATTAATAGCTTAGTATAAAAGAAATAGATTTTACAAGCTAGATCAAAATATATACATGAACAAGCAAACTACAACAACAAAAGTTATTTACTTATTCTCCATAAGAATAACATGGTAATTTTAAGTTGACAATTTCTTGCATTTTATCCAAAACCAATAACCATACAAAAACACTTTAAAATACTAAATTATTTGATTTTTAAGCTCTTTAACTCTTTGCAGCACGGAAAATACTGGTGTTGGGTGACCCCAACCGGCACGGAAAATTTTTTGTTGAAATGTTTGTTAATACTTTATGATTTGTGTTTAGAACTATATAAAGTCCTAAAAAAATAAATTACAATTTTTTTTTGTTATCACTTAGTGATAAAAGGGAGTTACACATATGTAACACCGTGCAGCAAATTGAACATATTTTATTGAATCCCCTAAATATTACAAACCAATTTAGAGGGTTTCTTTGGGGATATCATAAATACAAATGCAAATTATAATATAAGAAAGTATATATTTTACACATATACAATATAAAGCGTCAATACATCATATAGAGACCTGAATAAATGTAGTAAAAGAAAATTCACACAATGATAAATGTAAAAAAAAATTATAAAATGTAAAAGTTACTTAGCCACAACAAAGTAACATAAAGGCCAATTTATATTTAAGTAATATAAACATAAATTTAAAGGCGGGTATCAATAAAAAATGTTCCAATATGCCCAAACTTTATCCAAAATTGTATTGACACAAGAAAAACTATCAATATCGAGCCAAAAATATGACAAACCTATTTATAATGTCATATTATTTATAAAAATTCATGGATAGATATATTTGAAACGCTGAGCTGCATGGTGTTACATTTGAGTAACACACTATGAAAACTCAAAATACATTCTAGTTTACTGATTTTATGACTAAACTATTACAAGGGACGCTATTATAACAGTACATTACAAAACAGCATAGGGATTATATAATCAATAACAACATAATATCTTCCATTTGCATAAAAATAAAGACGGGATCTTGGGCACGAGTCTATCACCAGGAACAGCTGTTTTCTATGAGTTATTTGTCAGAATGTAAACAAATGGATGGTGCTGCCACCTAGCAAAGGTCCATAGTACTAACATTTAAAGTTTCCAGATGCATAGCGCTAGTAGTCTCGTTTACAAAAAATAAAATGTCTTGCGTTACAAAGATGTAACACCGTGCAGCAAAGAAGTCAAAAAGTCCGTTACATAAATGTAACACTGTGCCTGAAAGAGTTAAAATGGTCTATAGAGAAATTGGGAAATTTCATGTTTTGTGAGTATGAAAAACTAGAAAAACCTATAAAACCCCGTTCCCATGAAAAACCCCGTGATCATGCTGGTTCGCGAACTCGAACTCGTGTCCCGGGTCCAGGTCCTACCATGAGATACGGTAATAGCTTATTCCCTATGGGAGATTTGCTAACAATAGTGCAACCCCCCATTGCTGCAACAATTACAAGATTTAAAATAGAAAATATTAACTCTTAAAAGCTTTTAATTAGAACCAATAGTGTCCTAGTCTTATTGACAGTAAGGCCGGTTCACACGACAAAGTTTCTGTGCGCGCGACCAGATCTGGTTGAGTCTAGGCGAGGGGGTTGGCGGGGGTACTTTTGTGAAAACATTTGTGTCTTGCTACTCACTCCTTTCACTCGCCACTACCCCTAGCACTGCTAATAGCCGGTACCCGTATGTTTTAGTTCGGCTAGTATAGCAACCCGTCCACGCGCACAGTAGTTTTGGCCGAACTGTAGCTAGCCACGTTCGAGCTTGGTGTCCCAAAACATAGTCGGGCCCCGATTCCCAGTCACTCATGGCAGCTACCCAGTCACCCGCTCTAGTGGCTTAGCAGTACATGTAGCCTTATGGGAGCGTTCACACGAGCGATCGGGTAGTCGCGCTGCCACTGAGCTAAAATGACTGGAGGTAGCACTGCCATGGCAGAAGTCTGTCAAAAGCGTGTCGCTGATTTTGTTAGGTTGGTATAGCAGCGAGTTTTCTTATCATAGCAATAACAAGGCTTCTATAACTAGGTTGGTATAGCAGTGAGTTTTCTTATCCAATAACATGGCTTCTTATAACTCACACCTCACGCAAACATGGCGGCTGGCGACACGCATCTTTGACATTCAGTGCTACCTCCAGTTAGAATTATAGCTCAGTGCGCGCTGCAGCTCGCATTCTTCCCTTTGTTCTCATTGTACACCAGTGATGGATCCGAGTGGTTTTGATATCGATATTTTCATCTAGTCCGTGGACAATGGACATGTCGCTCGTGAGAACCGGTGTATCCCGTGGTCTCAGTGTTGCCACTTTTAGGGTAATTACCCTTTTTTAGGGTAATTTACTGGTCTTAGGGTAAAGTTTAGGGTAATAGTAGATTTAGGGTAATTTTAGGGTAAAACTATAAGTTAGCATAACAATGGAAACTATGCTAAAAAAATGAAAAAAACTTCAAAATTTGGCAAAAAACGTTCATTACATACTATGGCCAAACCATCATATTCGATTCAACCGGTTTAAATCGATTGCTATGATGAATTTTTCATAATAAAAAGTTATCCTAATCGATCTTATCAATAGTTGGGAATTATCTGTTTTAGAATGTATTCGATTCTATAACACATTATAGGCCTAATAAAATATGAAATATTATTCATTACTGGGTTTGATATTTAATGATGTGATTGAATTGCTGGATTATTTTACAAATTGTGTCAAGAATTTACTACTTAGATTAAAGCTTTGGTGGTACCGTACTGTATTTTAAAGATATGATTGTTCAAAAACAGTAGTAATGGGTCGATACAGTAAAAAAATACGACAGTTCTTGATTCGATTTTTTCGCTATACGATAGTCGATAGGCTGTCAAAATCAACATTTTGTTCTTCATTCGGGTGGGTTTTTAGAATCGAGTATAATTTTACGTAAATTGATTGATATTGGAACTTCATTTAGTATAATTAACCACCTTATGTAAGATTTATATGATTTTAACAATGTTTTATAGCATTAAACACAAATATTAACATTTAGGGTAATTTTTAGGGTAACTCAAAGTAGATTTAGGGTAATTTAGGGTAATTTTAGCCCGCCTTTAGGGTAAAATCGCAACAACGCGGTGGCAACACTGCGTGGTCTGCTACCCACACAGCCTTAGCCTAGTCAGCTAGATAAGTCGCTCGTGTGAACCGAGCCGATGGCTAGATGGCGGACCTGGCGGCAGCTGCTTGAAAGCTTGAATCATCTTGAATGTTAGTTAGTGTTAGTAGTTAGATAGGCGTGCCCTAATTGGTCTTAGAAATCTATGTGATCGTTGCTCTTGATAAACGTTTTTCACAAGCTGATGGGAGAAAGTATGTGTCAGGCTGCTGATGCCGTTTATTTCACTCCGTTCTGATCTGCTGAATCGTTCCGTCCTAGTTGAATTGAATTGAGTTAAACAGCAGGAACTAAAAATTTGTATAAGAAAAAAAAACGTTTAATTTGAGGTTAGGTTAGGGTTACATTCAGAATAATCAGAATACAGATCAGTGTGTCCACAGCTTGTACAATTGTACAAGATCTAGTACATTTTGATATTTCCTTGTACCCTTGTACATTGTTCACTGAATCTTGTACATTTTCCTTCAAAATCTGTTTTTATAAAAATTGAAAAATACACGCAGTTTGGGGGATTTTTAAGTTAATAAATAACAGTTGGCAACTCCGGATTTTCATATCTTGGTTGAATTGTAAAGACCACATGCCATAACTTACTCTATGTAATTTTATAACAATAAATTACCGGCTATAATAAAATACATAGATAAGCAAATGTACTGCCTTAATGGATTTCTCATTCTTATGGAACAGCTGATGAGCTGAAGCCAATTTTATTGTTATTTCTGCCGCGGTGAACTGTAGAGGTGATGTTTTGTTTATAATTTGTTTCTTGTTATTTCAGTTAGTTTCTTTTAAAACTTCGTTCAGCCATTAGCCAAATAAAACGATCTTATCATAAACAATAGCTTGTCCCGTAGTTATGTCAAACAGTATAGCGCAAATAATGAAATCAATCCTAAAATAATAAAAAAAAAAAAATTTCGTCGATACTAGCGGTCAGTGTCACCGGACATGAACTAGACACGAAAAACGAGCCTCAAAATTTACAATGGGATGAGAAGTCTACTTGTGTTATGAAAAAAGTCAGAATTCTGCATTAAAGTTTAGTAGGCATTCACTTCTGAGATTAAAGTCAAATTTAACAAGAGGGCGTTCCTCTTTATCAAATAATTAGAACAATGAGTTTTATGTTATTAAGTGTGAAGGTGAGAGGAGACCTGATTAATTTAATGGTTTTATTTCTATGGGGGAGCGTCAAGGTGCCACCACAAGGATAAAAACGTCAAAGAACTTTGGTTAATCTCTATGGTATAACACAGAGAGCCATATAAAGTAGCATTACTCTATCTTTTGTAAGATCTTGTACCTACATTAGGAAATCTTGTACATTTTTCAGGGAAATTTAGTACAAAAAAGTGGTACCCCTGTGGACACACTGATACAGATCAAGATCAAAATCAAGTCAAGTCAACCCAACAAACACAACAAGCTCAAAGCCAAAGCAAGCATGAACATTAATAAAGAAGTTCTTCAAACCGTAAGAGAGGACGATTATGTTGAATATTATATTTTCCCTAAGACATCTCACTCTACAGAAAACATAAGAGAATATCTTCAAAATGTTTTAGCTGAAGTAAGGTCTGTGTTTGAAAAATACAAATATTGTACCTACATCTGGCAAAAAGATGAAGTCAATCTTGTACCTCGATTTGAGTGCGAAATTGCTGCAGTTGATACCTCAGGTAACTCTAATTTTACCAAGTGTTGACACTATTTAGACATCCTATGATAAAAATATTATAATGATAGGTAGCCATGGGTCTTTGCAACTTAACCCTTCCCGGACGGGCGAAATCGTGATATAGGCCTAGAACGGGAAAAATTAGGCCTATAGGAAAAATTTTCCTTATTTGTGTTTTGTTATACAAGTAGGCTATACATAAAATAAATAAACACAATAGCGGGGTACAGTGTCTTAACTGGGCTACGCTAATATCGATTGAAACTATCGAATTGAAAATAGGCCTATTGATTAATAATCGAGGCTGCACTTTACTTTAGGTCCTACACTCATTCAAATGAAAATATTGATTAAATTGTTTCATTCCGATATATCATTTGGTTAGTTAGGTTACGTTAACCTTACCTAACTAACCAAACGATATAACAATCGCACTAGTTATGAACTAAGCATGAACTCAAGATGGCCAGTCATGACTCATCTTTTGCCGGCTACACCACGCACGCTACCGTACCAGTAACCTATTATAATTGGCCAATTTTTGTTAAATGTTCAGTGTTTTCGTGTTCGTGTCTCGTGTGTTATAAGTTAATAACTTCACAGTAGGCCTAATGAAGAGGATTGCGTGTTTGGAATGCGTTTTCAACTTGGTATCAGCTTTAAAATGAACCTTTAGGTTCAAATCCTGGGTCGCTGACCTAAATTCCAGGATCACTGACAAGTACTAGAGGTAACCTTTTTATTAGACTAATTCGGTTATTTTATCCTGATTCGGTTAAATTAGTCTTACCGAGCGTTTTGGTGATTTAACAAAAAGTTTGTTAGGAGCCTAGGTAGGCCTACTTAGGCCTAATTTAATTTATTTTAAGATTTTTTTTATTTTTACCTTTTTGATGTTATATCTATAAATTATTACAAACTGATATTTTTAACCCTAAAATTGTTACAGTAGGCCTGCACTAAAATATTACTTTTTTAAATAAAGCAGACATGTGGTTGCTTTATTGTGGTTGCGATACTGCAGTTCCGATTTGGCAGACTTGGGAGTAATGATTACTGTACAGTAATGGCTACATTTTTGAGTAACGTCTGTAACTCATCCGTTACATCTTAAAACAAGTAGGCTAACTTGTAATTGGTAATCGTTAAAAAAAACATTAGTAGGCCTAACGTTAAATAGTAGTGGCAAAAAGTTACTTTCGTTACATTGTATTGATCTTGAAAACTATTTCAAATTTCAAATTTAAATTCAGTACAGCGTTCAGAGACAAGGGTAGTTGGAAAGAAGAAAAAGCGGGCTAGGCCAGTTTGTTGACCCCAAGCTCCTAACCATTCCCAGTAGCGAACACAATAACATTTGTTTTGACTCAACCCATCCCTTTGTTACACTTCTGTCCGTCACATCAGTCCAAAGTCCGTCAACGTACCAGTTGTAGTGAACTGAACAGTGAAGTCAGTGAGTGTAAATCCTGACACTGTAGTCTGGTCCTTGATTCCAGTTCCAGTCTCTTTTGGTGTTTGTTGTGGTCCAAAGTGTAGTTTAAAGTTTATATCTAGGCCAATACTAGGTCTATTTTATATGTTTATCCGTTCAGTTGTCTCAAAGTTTTATTAGTCATACTGTAGTTTGAGAACATTCAATTATGCGTGATTGTTTATTGTTTATTGTGTTGTTGCGTGTATGTTTTGGTGTAGGTAGGTGTGTTTTGTACAGTCGAAGTGCGCAGCAATAAAGCACGGCTAGTTTTATAACGTTATGACACAATTTTATGACAAAATTCAATCAGCATGGAGAAAATTCTTTCATCAACAATAAGAAACGTATACAAATACAAATTACGTTCCAGACATTCAGAATAAGTGAATAATGTATTTATATTTTGCTGAAACGTTTAGTTAAGCTCAGTTTTGATTTGCAAATGCAATAATTTTGTAATAAGTGTGAAATTGAGTTTTTATGTGTTTATTTTGCTTTACTAACACTAAATATTATAGGCGAATAAAACTTATAATGTAGGTCTGACTTGGATCCAAACAATTGCATTGTATTTAGGTAGGCCTAGGCCAAGACCCCCCCCCCCCTACACGGCCTAAAGGGCTGAATTTTTTGTTTGCCGAAATGGTCTATTCTAAAATTTATAACAAGCTTGCTGTACTAATACTAAACTTAGTGTTTTTTTTTATAAATTGCATTAAACCACTGGCTCTATACTACAGTATTAATTTTACGTTTAAGAGGTTTTGAAAATAATGAAAATTAGATTTATAAATATAAATTCACTTTGTATTAAAAAATTTTACTGTAGGCCTATCACAAAAATATATTTTTACCGATCAAGGAAGTAAGAATTAACTAAATAAATCCAGGGGCCATCAAGATGGAATTTAACAAAATAAACCCTCATTTATTGATTTTTTATTAAAAATAAAATAGGGTACTGTAGTTACAAGCTAAAACTTATGAATCACAAAGCAGTTTCAGTAAGATACTACCATCAAATGAACTAAACTACTTCAATTAGTCTACCTTCTCTTTATCCCTATCCAGCCTGTCAAAAACCAAAACACATTCTATCTCCATAGTGGTCTTGCACCAACGCTTTTAACACCCACCTTTTAAAATTATTGTTTTTCCTCTTGTAGTATTTGTATTCAAAGTGTGGAAAGTCATTAATAAATATATACCAAAATTACTGTTGTATTTTTAGTTAGTAGTTATTTGTAGAGGGTCACCTAAAAACGCTTTAAAAATCTGATTCCCATATACACCTAGAATCTATACTTATAAATGGCAAAGCCCTCACTGACACACTCACTCACTCATCACTAATTCTCCCACTTTCCATTTACCTAGGAGGCTGAAATTCGGTACACCGATTCTTTGGGCATTAAATAGGAAAACTAAGTAGTTTTTATTCTGATCGGGCTTTCGGGCTCCGCCCCAGTGGCTCTGGAGTTTCCCATGTTAACCTTATGATTTTTCATATTTAAAAGGAATTAATGAATCTTAACAGCTGTTTCAATTAAACAAGTTGGTTCTGTTCTATAAAGTTCAATAGCATTAAAGTTACAAGGATTACCAACAGGGTGCAGCACTATTAGGTATTTTTTTTTTAATTTATGACAACAGATAATTTGCAATCAAAAGGTGAGTGAGCGTATCGAACGAACTTTAACCTGGAGGCGAGTTAGCATAGCGAACGAGCTAACCTGAAGCTAACCTAACCTAAAGGTGAGTGAGCGTAGCGAATAAACTTCAACCAGGACGTGATTGAGCCATGCGAACGAGCTCATCTTGAAAATTAAGAAGTTAAATTTTCGGGCAAAGCCCGCGGGTACAGCTAGTGTTATCTATAATTTTACCTTAAACAAAATTACTTTTTTAACTATTTTATTCCATTTTGGTTCAATAGTAAAAATGTATATTAGCAGACTCAAGATCTCCCAGACAATTCAGATGTTGTATTAACAGGTATTATTTTATTAGACCTATAGTTTAATCTAATTCATGTGTCTTTAATATAGCCAAAACCAAATATGTTATAAACTTTCTGAGCATATCGGTTTGGTTAAAAAAAACTTCAATTTTATTTCAGATTTCAGAGATCACATCCCTTTAAATTAGAGCATGTACCTTGCAACTGTAATCAGTTACCCTACATTTCTGAAAGAGCGAGTAACTTGTAACTGTAACCAGTTACATTTTTTGAGTAACTTTCCCAAGTCTGCGATTTGTATCGCTATCAAGTACTGTTGGAAGGTTGGTGGTATCGTAACAAACCTACCTAGGCTCCAGCTCCCCCAACAGGACCTGTATTCATATATTTGCAGCACCTTATTTCACATTAGTGTGAACTAAGCGATTTACTTCCTTCAGAGTCATTGATGTAAAAATGCTTTTTTTCAGTGGAGAAACTCCCCCCTCATCTGTATGGAGTCACACACTATGGGGATAACATAGAAGATGAATGGTTCATAGTGTTCCTATTGATTAAAGCTACTCAAGAAATCCCTGGACTTATAGCAAGGTAGATTAGCCATTAGTAGTTTTGCTGTTTACCCATTTTGTGCTATAGTTCTTAACAATAATGCTAAAAATAAGTGACATTATTGCATCTTGTGCAATGTAGTCAACGTTCAAAAAATTGTGTAATTCTTAAACTTTGATTATACCTAACTTTCTATACCATGTATTTTAATGAAAATAGGTACAAGATAGGCGTATCTTCACTTTAATCAGCAATAATTAAAATATATTTTGTTTTGAACTTTCTACACCTTTTATGTAATGAAAATTTACTACAAGATGCAGTTAATTCAGAGCATATATTTCTGTAATATTTCATGACAATTTTAAACAATATTTGGCATTGAGTTGAGAAATTATCTTTTTTTTTATTGCTTTTTAGGATGGTGGATGTGGATGGAGAGTTTCTATTGATTGAAGCCGCAGATCATTTACCTAAATGGGCCAATCCTGAGACATGTGACAAACGGGTATGTACATAATTTATATCTGTATTTATTAAGAATACTCCTAAATGAAAGATTGAAGGTAACCTAATATTTTGATGTACAGTATCGTACATTAGGTTTGTAGGCCTACTCATTACTTTACTCGTTATGCTTGGTAAATTTTTGGCCTTAAAATATTATCTTCGAAATGGGATTGAGTTTTTAATTTATAGGTGCCTGGAACAGTTTGTATAGAACATATTTTGTTTTCAAGTACAGTAGAACTCCAATTATCCGAAGTCCATCTATCCTAATCACCAATTATCAGAATTTTCTTACAACAGAAATAATTTAAAAATTGAAAACCACATTTATTTAATAGTCGTTACTCGTTATTAAAGAAGGCAGAAGCCATGATCGTGGCAAAATCCAAAACCCGTCTCACGATCGTGTAGACACTGTCATCGTCTCCCGCGGTCACGGTTACATTGTCATAGTTTTTAGCTATTGTGTCAAAATGATAATTATATCCCATGGTCGTGTTGACACCATCATCGTCTCTCATGGTCATGGAAAATCGTAATCATCCCCGATCGCCGCAAAAGCGTAAATTTCCGATCGCAAAATCTTCCTATACACGTTCTGTGATCACAGTAGTAAAAGCTCGGCAAGACTCTAAATTTTGGTAAAAATCCAATCATCCACATTTTTTATTATCTGAATGTAGTCCGGTACCAACTGATTCGGATAATTGGAGATCTACTGTATGTAGATACATTTTTTAAAGCTTATTCTGTCTGACCTTTTTAACCCTTTAACTTTCAAAGGTGAAACCAAGCTAAAATCTGAGAGTGTCTCTTGGCACTCTGAGTAATCGAACAGTGTTTTTTTTTTAAGTTTATGCAAAGCTATACATTTGGGAATAAAATGTGTACTTTATGTTCGTCAATATATAGTCAAAGGGGAAACAAAGCTGATGTCTAAGAGCATCTGTTGACGGTCAGTGTACTTAAACAGTTTGTTATCTAATACACTTTCTGTACAGGTTTACCTACACGGGGGATCTGTCCATCTGATACCAGGAGACGCGACGTTAGAAGTTGATGAAGCGATCCAAACCATCTGGGACACACCTGAAGAGACCAGAGCCTCCACTGGCATACAACAGGCGATATCTGCCAGGATAGAGGGGTATTTACTTTTATTTTACTTCATGATTCATTTATCACCATTGCTGGGGATAGGTGGTAATCGCTCAGCATCAAATCTGTCAGTCGATTTCAGTTTAGTTCACAATTTAACATTGTACTTTTGGTAATGACTGTACTTTTGGATCATCCAATCTTTGGATCTTGTGATTTGCAATATAAACGTTGGATATTCCGATGTTGGATCTTCTGATCGGCAATATAAACTTTGGATCTCCTGATTTTGAATCTTGTGAAATGTTCCCCCAAAACCATCCAAGAACTCTTGAGTAGGGGTTTCAAATCTTACCTGACACAAAATTTGTGGTTTTCAGTTTTATCATGAACAATCTTGGACAAAACTCCTAAAATGTGGTAAAAAAGTTCTAAAGCTCTGTGACATAAAAACTAAAACTTTTTTAAATTCATCTTCACTACATTCGGCTTTCACTCACTATGGCTGTGAATGAAAAATCCTCTTCTGCTTACACGTACGAAAGGCACGAGTGTTAATGGAAACAACTTGTTTTGTTACTGTTACTGTATATAGACAAATTCCGAAGCCAAGATGGTGGCTCTATTCTACACTGATGCTCCTTGCCAAAACTTTTACTGCTTCTTCAAAATACTGTTTAATTTTTGTGTATTACATGTAGTAAAGTAAGTTAGTCTTCAATATGACCACTTCTGCTCATCTCAAATTACAAGCTAGTGAATTTACAGCACCATTGGCTAGTGCATGATTTTGACTGTAAAATAAATTTTAACGTTACCTTTATTTTCTGCCTCAGGTATCCTGGGCGTATTGTGGACAACCTGCACAGTTGTAATGTTTTTGTGCCCGTTGGAGTGGCAGCATTGCTGAGAGCTCGTCCTAGCCTAGTGGCACCAGCTGTTACAGCATTCTGTCATCGCGATCCTATTGACCTTAAGGTTTGAAATTTATTCTACAGATCATAATTTTTTAAATATATTGATATCCCTGTTAGTCCAGTCAATAAAAGGGTTAACCTCCGAAAAATTGCAAACTGTCGGGGTGCGAACAATGGTGCAAACTAAAGAAGTTATTTCGGAGAAAAAACCCCATATTTTAGCGCCCTATAACTCAGTAACCATGAGGAATAAAATAAAAGTGTAAATATCATTTTTTTTTTGAAAATTTAATGATCTTTCATTTGGTATACAGTCACTTTTAACTCTGACAGATGGTTCTCGAGATTTTAGCCAAAAACCAAAATAGGTTCCCTGTTTTCGCTAATTGCCTCTAGAGCTCGCCTCATATTTATGAGGACTTTTGGTATAATCTTCCCTAGGTACCTAGAAATATGTGTGCACAGTTTCAAAACTTTCGGATTTTTTCGGAGTTTGGGTCATTAATTTATTAATTTTGACTGGACTATGTTGTAGCAAACCTGCAGATCAAACATAGGCCTTATATTATATATTGTTGCCTTAATGAGTTGCTATTCCAACCTCAAAAGTACATGCATTTTAATATCCCAGTATTAAATAAATTCACACCCAGTAAAAATTATATTGGCTCTATGACTATACAGGATTTTTACTTAAATTTCCTCCTATGAGGAACTAAAAATGAATATAAGAAACATCTTGTTAAATGATAATAGGCCTACACATTATTTTCTTATGCTGCACTCAAGCTTTTGATTTACAAATACTCATCCTGATCGGCCAAAGTTTCCCTGTGTGAAGAGCGGGTGAGTGAAAATTTAAAAACGTACGTTTTCATGTCCCTGGCCTTTTACTTCGTAGATACTGGATTTGTAGTTTATTATTATGTGTTTTAATATTTTTTGGGACGGGGGCAACATGTTATACACATTTATTTGGTTGTAAATAGGTTCTAGGTATTTTTTTCGTATTTTTAAAGTCTTGAAATTCACGACCATGACGTGTCCCTAGGGTACATTTTCCAACTTTCACGCTGTTTTTGGACTAATTATTCATGCCGAAATATATAAAGCCATATTTTTATGTCATCAATAGTTATTGAACTTACAAAAAAGGAGCATATTATAATTTTATTGTCATTGCAAACTGACTACCATGACAAAATAAGTCTGTCCCTCGATTTGGCGTCACGACCATTTGGAAAAAATTTGCAACTTTGGAACACGACAGTGGCAAGCCTGGCGTCGATTGCGTCAGTTCGTTTTAGAGACTAGTTCGAGGTGTACGTCAAGTTTGTTGTGCCGGTTGTTTTGTGTTGAAAGAAGTAGTTACAAGATTAATAAAGGCAAGTTTGTGTTTTTTGTAATTTTGGTGTGTCCATGACCGTACGTAGTCATTTGATGAAGTAGACGTGGTTTTAATTTTTGTTGATATGATATTTCAATTGCTACATTAACCTAGAAGTCCACTTTGTATCCTCGAACATGAGGTGCAAGGCTACCGCCAGAACAGAGACAAATAATACGTAATGTCACGACAAAAGTTTCACGACCATCGCGGGTTTTTTCACGACCAATCCAGCCTTATGGATTATACTGTGTTTGGTCGTGACAATAACTTAAATATCATTGTAAATTGAACAGTTTAGTTCAATTGAAACACATATTTTTATTATAACTAACAGCATAACTGAAAGATTGTTTAGTAAAGATTTAGATTATTCCAGACAATTTACGACCGTACCGCTTGTCCCTGACCATCACGTTGATGATTTCTATCATAAAAATTAAAAAAATTAAAATATCATCATATTTAAATGTTTTATACACAAAAGAAGCACACCTCTATAAAAACATAAAGATTTTTCAGGTCTCAGGTTAGTTTTTTCGGAGTTATACAACTTAAAAGATTTTATTGGCTTTTTTTAAATTTTTTTCTTTATTTTTTATTTTTTTCTTGAAAGACCAAATATACCAAAAGCTTAGTGAGCTGTTTATTGTATAAAGGTCATAAAAGTAAATTAATTTATAGCAAAACATAGTTATAAAAATAATATTAACTATTTTTAATATTCAGTTTTATGTCCGTGATTGTCGTGACAAAATTTCGTGTTTTTCCATCAAAGATGCTCTATTTATAAAAAATCACTTAAGATATTGCGTTACCATGGACATTTAATGAAACTTCAAATGTCAATGAAATCTATATAAATAAAATCAGAGTTTTGTCTGTACATTTCTCAGAATCATACATTTTTAGGTTATTTTTACGTTTTATACATTAAAGAAGCCGAAACAAGTCTCATCTAAATTTCTGTCTGTCTGTCTGTCTGTCTGACACACTCAAGATGGCATTTTACGCAATCTTCTCCAGGAAAACGAGAGTACCTATCAAGACCCAAGTCATTTTAATGTATTCACTGGATTGGCGAGAGTGTCTTTAGCCATTAAAATATGGTCTCACTACTTTGTAATTAAAATTACGGCCGTTCAAAAATGCAGTTTTGTGCGATTTTTGTCGAGTTTTCTTCCAATTTGTATCACATAATCATCTATGAAACAACGAACAGCTGTTCGGATCAAGATTATTTTTTCTAGCTGTCACTGAAATGTTTACAAATGTTGTTTACAAACACCACAACCATTTCCGATCACGTTTTGAAGGCAAATCCCATCCAAGTGAGATTAAAAACGTTTTTATTACATAAAGGATTTAATTAATCGCAAGCGGAATAATATAGTGTAACCGTAAATTAAATAACTAGGCATCATCCAGGTCAGGAACCAGAAATATGTGTATAAAATTGTTTTGGAGTTTTGATAACCAGAAAGAAGACATTGAAACAAAGATTGAATCAGTGTTGTATACGGCTTGGAAACTTAAATTTACTAATGACCGTCGCCAATAGCTTAGAAACAATGTTCCACTCATTGACGGCTCTTCAATGGCGGTTGTGTAAAGTGTAAAGCAAAAAATTACAACTGCAGTGGGTGATTTTAACAGAGGTTTACGGATGATGCTGAACTCGATTTTCCAATGTGTCACTTTCTGTTCCTACCATTGACTATATAAAGTCAATAGTTCCTACTCACTGTGTGATGCAATCGCTGGACCATACAGCCAATAGGCCCATAGCCCTTCTCTTGGGTACGTGTGGTACGTATGCTTACCCAATTATTTATAACAACCCTTTCGACAACGATCCTTGATACCGGTACTTTTCCATAGAATACACGGCCTACCTAGGTACTTAAGAAATAAAATTATAAACGTCCAAAAACCCAACGTTGTGTGATTTTGTCACATTTCCTTATAATGTTAATATATATACCAGCAACCATTGTTTAGAGAATACGTAATCTATTAAATAACAGAAAGTTATGTTGTATAAGGTTTTTTTTTTTAAACTGACACCGATAAGTTTACATTAAGAGTTGTGTACAAATAAAGCAATTAATGGGAAATAACTTTGATTGCCGATAACTTTTTACGAGAAAATCCAAAACCAAGAGATCAATAACCTTGATTAACGCATATAATTGGTCGGCTGTACTACAGTTCTTAACTGTAAACGTTGGTTTTTGGTACGGTACTGGTTCTTTTCCTTTTAACCTTTAGTAGCAGCAAGAATCATTTTTACGTACCAACACATCACAGTAATTTACAAATTAGTTATCGTTGGTGTTGCACCTTATTTATTACAGCCGTAGGCCTATTCAATTTAATTGATGTATTAACTGTATAATTTTTGCTTTTTCTGTCTGGATTCCAAAATGTTATGCTAAGAAAACTATAACGCATTTTAGTAAAACATTTATTCAGCAAACCATCATGAATTGTTCAAACACTTTGAACGTTGTTTATGTATCAATAGTTCGTGGCCTATTTTGGTAATTTTTATTACAAATTACCAATCTAAATGGTCTATAGTAGGCCTACTGTACTTCATTTCATATAGCAAACCGATTCAGATAGCATTTCGACAGAATTTCGAGTCATCTCCGGTCCAAGCAAATATAAATTGTTATGATCAAATTTTATGGCATTAACAAAGATTTCAAGTACTAATTTTATATGTACCTTTTTATGCTTAAAGCGTAGCAGATTCCCTAATTAAGTTCGGTATTTTTGTGTGTATGTATGATGGTAACGCATTAATGTCCTTGTTTCTCAATGTTTCACGGAAAGGACAAGAGCGCCTTGATAATGAAAATGTCAACCCGAATAAAGTGTTAAATTAAGAGGTTGAGGTAGTACCTTAAATACTTTTCCATTATGTTATAGTCCTTTAAATTCTGAACAAAATTGTACAATTCCCATTTCCGTATATTTACTCTCACCGCTTACACATGATAAAGGTTGTTGACAAACTTATGGGAGAAAGTATGTGTCAGAATGCTGATACCGTTTATTTAGTTTAATCATTGGATATAACATATGGACCAACAAGATCCGGGTGACATTTAATTGCGAAGCATTAGTTTTGGCTTGAAACTGTCAGATACTGTATTTGCGAAGGAATAGTTTTGTCAGCATATCTGAAAGTATGCAAACCAACTGCTGTGCTTTATATAAGAAGGTTTTAACTGACTATGATAATATCCCCGTGCGTAGAACGGGCACACAGATAGTATAAAAAATAAAAAAAGTTTCAAAAAACGGAACAAAAAATTTTAAAAGTGCTTTTCCTGAAAACGTAGGTTTTTAAATTTTTACTCGGGTATAACAGCTTGTGTTTTATATTTTCTAACCTCCCAAAGAAATTAAACACCACCGAGTAATGCTTGGTTCCCTGGAACTTACTTATTAAATAAGTATTATTTTAGGGAATTAGATTCTTTTTGGACTAGGACTTACACTTTTTATACTTAGCCAAAAATGTTAAACTAAATCATTTATTAAAAAATGGATTTCTATCCATTATATTTTAAAATTATAACATTATTTATATGTTTTATAATTAATATTATTAATTATAAAATTATATTTTAAAAAATGGATTAGAAATGTATTTCTTAGTGTGGATGTTTATTTGGATGTAATATATTTTTATTTTTACCAATATGTGATATCCAATTTAGCCTACCCCTGGGTCTATACGCTAGCCATAGTTTAACTATGTACCACTAGAAAATGTCAATGATTTTGTGGTTTGTGTAGGCCTGTCGTGCCATGAGATACTTCCCACCAGAGCATTGCGTTATGACTAGAGTAACATTCACTAAGTGTTTGTACGCCATGTTGACACATCAGAAGTACATGCCTGATCGACGAACTGGTTGGAATTTGCCTCTTACGACTGATGCTTCCTATGCTTCCAAACTGCTCGGTCTCAAATTGGTGAGTATTATAAACAGCGTTTGTACTTTAATGCATCAAAGTATTGATTAGCTATAAGCATTTTCTGTAAATTAAGGTCCCTATCGGGTTTCTGTATTATCAAAAGACAAAAATTCTAAATTCAAGTGGACTCAGACCCATGTGTCTGTGGGGTTAAAACTCTGACAGGGTGGCTATCCCTGTCAGGTGGACCTGGAAAACCTGGAAATGTCAGGGAATATTAAATATCTGGAAAAGTCATGGAAAAGTCAGGGAATTTTGTCATAAGTCAGGGAAAATTATATGTTTAACATAATTTTAATAATTTTTAGGAAAGGTTGAGAGTATGTGTGCCGTGTGGGTGAAAACTAAGAAATATGTCTCTACAAATAAATTTTGTGTTTTTGTACAAATTAAATTTTATTATAACTGCGTATCATCTTAACTCAGTTTAATTTTATTAAGGTTAGTTGCAAAGTTTGAATATAAGCTAGCCTGTATCTATAGATTTTATGTATGTTTTTCATGTAAACAAACATAAGATATTCTTCAGATAAAGATTAGTCCTTTTGAAGAATTAGTTAGGTAGTGTTAAAATTGTAATTTTGAATTTGTCGATCAGGGAAAGTTAAAAAAAAATCATGGAATTGTCAGGGAAAAGTCAGGGAATTTTTCAATGTGATTTCACTAGCCGTCTGACAAAGCCACATATGATCAGAGTGGGCTAGCTGTCATATAACCCAGATAAAGCAGCACTAACCTGGATTAGCCTAGAAAAAAGTGTGGAAATTAATTAAAACCATTTTTGTTTCCTTTGATGAAGGTTAAAAAAAAATAATTTTATTTGTTTAAAATCTTCATGAATTATTTAAGGCACCTGTAACACTAATAACTGCAGACTGTAAGCCTCAGTTTAATAATGTTATACTTGAACAGTTAGGAAAAATAGATGCTTATAAAAAATAACGGTAACCAACTATTGTAACAAAAATTTAACTTCAAGAAAAAATGTAAATAATATTGGTCAAAACATGCTACAATTAATTGTGAGTTTCTGTTTTAGGCTTGTGGTTTTGAAATCTTGGTCACTCAGAGTAAAAGTATTGGACAGACCGATGATCTCAGCAAAGAATGGCAAAGTTACAAAGATTCCCTGAAAAACAAAGGTTATTTCAAGGTAGGTCCTTCAAACCTTCTTCTGATGAGAATATTCTATTTACTTTATTGACAAATTGTGCTATGACAAAGATCGTTAAATTGAATTGTCAAACTATAGGGTAATGTAGCTTTTGTAAGCTTTAGCAAAAATGGAAGGTTAAAACTGGTTATAAACTCCTATTGAACAAAAAATTAACAATTGCCATAAGCAACAACATACAGTTTTCCTAAGATTAAGATTTAAATGTTTGCCTCGCAGGACTTGTTAGAGGGATCTCAAGAGTACAGCAGACTTGAGGAAGAGGCCAAAGAGTATTTCCGCTCACATTGTGTCCAATCACAGCCAGCCATTGGACAGATCGTTCTTGACCTCCTGCGAGAGATCGACGTGGACATTGAAGAGCTTCGGAAAAATGAATCCACCTTGCCTCCTTCCGACGGTAGTACTCTAGTGTTTTCTTTCATTATGTTTTGTCCCAACTAGGCAAATAGTTTTTGAGGGAAAGAGCACTTGGCTTGGAAATAAGTTGAGGAATAAGAAATGGGTAACACAATCAATCAATCAATCAATCAATCAATCAAAATAACTTTATTCATATTGCACATTTTGTACAGAATGGAGTCAGTTATAAAAACACAATATTAAACTTAAGACTACTTACAGTAGACTTACAGACTACTACAACTAGCTTAACTTAAAAAAAGGGTTCGAGGCAGTTGACAGCACACAAAAGTTGAAGTAATATTTCCTTCTGAATATTTTCCGTTAAGTGGTAAAGTATCAAATTAGTAGTACTGTAAACTGTGTCTGTGCTATGAACTCTTTTCTTAAGTAAGTTAGTTGTATTATATCCATTCCTTTATTCCCTAATATAAAGTAGTATATTAGGGAACCCCATGGTGTTTGCTTTTATATCTGAAGGTTGCTGATGCTTTGAAAAAGATCAATTCTGAACCCATTTGCCACGACATTTTGAAATATTGATTACTGATGCGCTTTAATTACAGGTTGCGTTTAGATAGTAAAAAGACTAAAGTTCCAACTGTTTCCTTTAAACAAATATTTACAAAATGAAATGCTCCTGGGTGAAATCACCCAAAAAGTAGTGTTACTCTTATAACTTTAAATCTCTATTGTTTATTTTCATGCACAGTTTTTAAATGAAATTTATTTTTTTATCGATTCCGAAAGATTAAATTTAAATAACATGCTCCTTTATAGGGATAACAATAAGCACACATATATGTGTTGTAGTGCCTGACGACTACTTACCTGTATATAAATCTTTATTTTAACAGATGATATTTATTTGTTTACTAATTCATTCAATTATTATTGTTCACTTTAACTTTTTACTAAATACACGTATTTTTACTCTTGTCTAGCATTTGTGAGTTCACAACTTCAATTGGTGACCCCGACGCGATCCGAAATGTCAAACGGAGAACAATCAGTACACAGAATTCAAGTCAAGATCCCTCCTTTCTGGCACTCAGATCCAGAATTGTGGTTTGCACAAATCGAAACCCAGTTTTCTCTAGCGGGGATCACGGTCGACGAAACTAAGTTCTATTACGTCTGCGGTAACCTAGATGCGAAATACGCAGCGGAAGTGAGGGATATCCTCACCAACCCTCCAGCAGAAGAAAAGTACAACAAATTAAAAAAAGAACTTATAAAACGGTTTACCTTGACCCAGGAACAGAAGACGAAACAACTTTTGGAACGAGAAGAGTTAGGTGATCGGAAACCATCACAGTTCCTGAGGCACATGCGTACTCTAGCCGGAACCATGATACCTGATCCACTACTGAAGTTTCAATGGCTTAGCCGTCTTCCTTCAGCAACACAAGCCATCTTGGTAACACAAAAGGCTGCGGACCTCGATACACTGGCGGAGCTTGCGGATGCTATCCATGAAGTCAGTCCTCACCATGAAGTATCGGAGGCGTCCTTATCAGCTCCCTCGATGGAAGAAATGATGGAACGCTTTACAACCACGATGACATCAAATATTAGAGAAGGAACAGAAAAATTTCAACAAGAAATAGCAGGAATCAAAGAAGACATGAGACGTCCAAAATTCCACAAGACATCAGACACATATCCTCGTAGACGATCATGGCAATGCTCCAAGAATCGATTTGATCGCCATGACGTCTGTTGGTATCACTGGCGGTTCGGCGACGCAGCAACGAAGTGCACCGACCCTTGCAGATTCAAAGGAAGCAGATCGGGAAACGACCCAGGGAGTCTCTAATGGCGACAAGCGACTCCGACCTCACATGTTCCCGTCGCCTATTTGTCACCGATAAGGTAACCAAACAACAATTTCTAGTTGACACGGGAGCTGATGTATGTGTCTACCCTCGTAATATGTTAGATAAAAAAAGACCTAAGACTGACTATACTCTATATGCAGCTAATAATACTGAGATTACGACGTATGGTCTTGTATCTTTGCCTTTGGACTTTGGTCTACGCCGCTCATTTGTTTGGCGTTTCATCGTAGCCGATGTATCCAAACCAATAATAGGGGTAGACTTTCTACACTATTATGATCTGCTTGTTGATGTACGACGTCAATGTTTAGTTGACCAGTCAACTTCGTTTTTTTCCAAAGGTCAACCTCCTTCAGTTCATTTAGTGAGTAGTGTTAAAACTATTAAGTCTTGTCAACAGACAGTTTTCTCTCAATTACTTCATGAATACCCAAACCTCACCAGACCTTCAGGTAAACCTGATTGTACTTCCAAACATGACACAAAACATCATATTGAGACAACACCAGGACCTCCGGTGTTCAGTAAACCCCGCCGCCTGGCACCGGATAAATTTAAACTCGCCAAAAAAGAATTTGAATCCATGGTTCAACTAGGTATAGCTAGACCCTCTTCTAGTTCCTGGTCTTCTCCCCTTCACATGGTTCCCAAAAAAGGCGATGAGTGGAGGCCATGTGGAGATTACAGGGCTTTGAATGCTAGAACTATCCCTGATCGGTACCCTGTTCCCCATATTCAAGATTTCTCTCACCAACTTCATGGTAAGACAATATTCACCACCTTAGATCTTGTTAAGGCTTATCACCAGATTCCGGTTGCTGCTGAGGATGTCCACAAGACAGCAATTACCACACCTTTTGGCCTGTTCGAATTCCCTTACATGTCATTTGGACTATGCAATGCTGCTCAAACGTTTCAACGCTTTATAGATGGCGTACTTAGGGGCTTAGACTTCTGCTACGCTTACATCGACGATATCCTAGTAGCTTCAGAGTCAGAAGAACAACACGTATTACACTTAAAACAGCTCTTTGACCGTTTTTCTACTTATGGGATCCTCATTAACCCAAGTAAGTGTGTTCTAGGAACATCAGTCGTTAACTTTCTAGGGTATGAAGTATCTGGAGAAGGTATCAAACCTTTGCCAGAAAAGGTTAGAGTCATCAACTCATATCCTAAACCTAAAACAGTTAAGGAACTAAGGAGGTTTATTGGCATGATAAATTTTTATCAAAGGTTTTTGCCTAACACGACGGAGCATCAAAGCTTACTAAACGAACTCCTGAAGGCTAATGTGAAGGGAAATTCACCAGTCAACTGGACCACGGCAAGTAATGAAGCATTTGAGGCTTGCAAGCAAAGCCTTAGTAAAGCTGTGATGCTGTCTCACCCTGTACCAGATGCTCAATTGGCCATTTTCTGCGATTCTTCCGCCCATACTGTGGGGTGTGCGTTGCAGCAAAAGATAGGTGATAGTTGGCAGCCGTTGGCCTTTTTCTCAAAAAAATTAACCTCTGCTGAACAAAATTACAGTGCCTACGACAGAGAGTTGACAGCAATATATTTATCAGTAAAGTACTTCAAACATATGTTAGAAGGTAGGCAGTTTACCATTTTCACAGATCACAAACCACTCACTTTTGCATTTAAGCAAAAAGCTGACAAATGCTCTCCCCGCCAATTTCGTCACTTGGAATACATTGGGCAGTATTCAACGGACATCCGCCACATCTCTGGACAAGGTAATGTGGTAGCTGACACCCTCTCCAGAATTGAGACGATTGCCGTTCCATTGGACTATCAGGCATTAGCAGACTCACAGAGCAAAGATGAAGAGTTAATACGTCACATGCAGTCTGATTCCAGCCTGAAACTTCGACAGATCCCAATACCAGGAACACAGGTTTTGCTTTACTGTGACATATCTACTCCCATCCCTCTCACACTCCCATCTACTCTCGTCCCTTCATCACAAGGCCATTTCGACAAACCGTTTTTAACAGTTTACATAATCTCTCCCACCCAGGTATTAAAGCTTCATTGAAACTTGTCAGTCAACGTTTTGTCTGGCCTTCAATGAACTCTGACTGCCGTCGATGGGCCCGTTCTTGTATGGCATGCCAAAAGTCCAAGATATCACGTCACAACTGGACTCCTGTAGGTATGTTTGCTCCTCCATCTTCCAGGTTTGAGCACATACACATTGACCTTGTTGGTCCGCTACCTGTCTCCGAAGGTTACAGGTACTGTTTGACCTGTGTTGATCGTTTCTCAAGGTGGCCAGAAGCAGTACCAATCGAAAACATAGAAGCAGAAACTGTAGCACGAGCACTTTTTACCACTTGGATTTCTAGATACGGAACACCACTACGAATTACAACAGATCAAGGTCGGCAATTTGAGTCAAGCCTGTTTAAACACCTAGGAGATTTGTTAGGTTCGACTCGTCTCAGAACAACTTCCTATCACCCATCGTCAAATGGACTAGTTGAACGTTTTCACCGTCAACTGAAGGCAGCCATCAGATGCCACGCAACAGCACGATGGACTGAGGTATTGCCCGTCATACTTTTGGGAATACGGACAGCATGGCGTGATGATCTACAAGCTTCTTCAGCTGAACTCCTGTATGGTCAACCACTTCGCCTACCTGGAGAGTTCCTTACACTTAGCGATTCCAACCATGAACTTGACCCACAAAGTTTTGTCAAAAATCTGCGTCAACATTTCAACAACTTAAGACCAGTTGATGGAACAAGACATGGAGGTAGGACGCCATTCGTGTTCAAGGATCTCAACACATGCACTCATGTCTTCGTACGTACCGACATTTCTAAGGGTGCACTCGATCCCCCCTACTCAGGTCCTTACCTCGTCATTAGAAGATCTGACAAGACTGCAGTAATTCGGATTCGAGGCAATGATGTAACCATTTCAATGGATCGACTTAAGCCAGTCTATAGCTTACAACTCGACCATGATGACACCAGCGTTTCCAGAGGCACCATAACTACTACTGCTCCCTTTTCTCATTCTGACATTCAACAACGAGGTACATTGACATCTAAATCTATTCTGAGATCTACACCATTAACTACGCGCTCTGGGAGGCAAGTTCATTTTCCAGTACGGTTCCAGAGTTGATTTTTTTTCGTGTTTGCTCAACTACACAGCTCAACCACTGGCAAGGGGGTACTGTAGTGCCTGACGACTACTTACCTGTATATAAATCTTTATTTTAACAGATGATATTTATTTGTTTACTAATTCATTCAATTATTATTGTTCACTTTAACTTTTTACTAAATACACGTATTTTTACTCTAGTCTAGCATTTGTGAGTTCACAACTTCATGTGTTATTAAATGAATTAATAACAGGTATCGGTTTCGAGTGCGGAATCAAGAATTGAAACTAAAGTTCTGGAATCGGAGTTGACCAAAGTTCTGGAATCGGCCCATCACTATAAGTATGTACTAAATGTTATGTCAATACAGCTGATGTTGGTGGTTGCATTTCCAGATGACAGCTGGTTAGATGTGTCCCCAGCAGAGTTAGATCGTATGATGGAGCAACGCTACGGTCGCAAACTGTCTCACCCTGCTACTGACATACCAGCCCAACTGGCGCAGTTCCTTAACCATGTCAGCTCTGTGGATGGTGCTGAATTCCCTCAGTAAGTGATGCTCATGCTAGTCTTGAAAAGTTAAGAATTCCTATACACAAAATGTGTTATATAATTTTATAAATGATTATCCATTTACAATTAATGGTTAGGGTGTTGGACTTCTTTGCTGCAAGCCTGTGTTCAAATCATGCCAATCACCAACGAGTCTACCTTAAGCTGCATCTACCTATATAAAAAATCTTCAAGGCAAAATTAAATTTTTTCAAGCTTTGCTTGCACAAATAGTAGTACATACTGGTCAATCAAAAGTCAACTTTACACAATATGTTAAAAACAGCAACTGACCAATACTAACGATTCTCAACTCCTCACTCTCGTGCATCTTTTCAATTACTCCCAGAGAAAACACCTTAACCTTATCTTTGCTTATAATTAAAATATGGTTTATTTTACAAAATCTTTGTCTGCAGGGACAGTCTAGCAATGGACTCACCACCGGTGAGGCCTCGAAGAGGGGTGAAACCGAGGAAGGCTAACTCAGCAACTACCTCGACTTCAAGGGAGAAGGAGTCCGAGGAGGACAACCGAGTGTCCTTTGATCCTGACTCATTCTCCTGTGCCGTGCAGAATATCCTCGGTACATTTAATATTCATATATTTTTTTTCTTTTCTTACTATTATATTTTGTCAAATAGTCAATATTGAAAACATGTGATTTTAAGAGTATGTTTTTAGTTTTCATGTATTAATTCCTTCTGTTTAAAGTCCTTTGTCTTATACATGCAATATATTGATAAAGTAAAATTATTTGTAAGATTTACAATACTTTATTGTTACATTTTGTTTTGTTTTTCTTGTATATAAATTTGTCAATAATTCAGTTCAAAATGTTTTTCCTGCAGGGTTGATGTAATGGCTATGATGAAATAAGCTACATACCTTGTTGTCATCAATTCACCATAGAGGTCTAGTTTTAGAGCCTCACTGCAGGTCAATGTTTAAATGTTATTGCCAAATCAAATGTCGTCTTTAGTAACCTTAATAAAAATGCATATGTTATAAAGGACTTGAAACATGATTATTTTCAAAATAAATTTGGAGGCTAGCCAACAAAAATAATACAGATACCTTATCGGATATGAGGAAAGCTACCATTCGTCTCACTATAAACAATGACTAATTAGTAATTAAGTCCATAGAGACACATAACACATCACAAAATTAAAAGTAGAAATTTTCGTGGTCACTGACCACTTTTTCAACCACTGGAGATTGGAGAAATGGCAATGGCAGTTTTACAGTTTGCCATTTCTCCAATCTCCAGTGGTTGAAAAAGTGGTCAGTGACCACGAAAATTTCTACTTTTAATTTTGTGATGTGTTATGTGTCTCTATGGACTTATTTAAAGGTAAGCCTGCTTTCCTGTCAATTTCCTTAATAATTCCTGGCAAATGCCCTATCTTTTTATAAGATAATTAGTAATTATATTTTTCTTGTGTCCAGATTTTGCAGTACCTGAAGACAACTGGGATATGGAATCAGATGGATCAGGAATGAGTTCTTATGAAGATGAAGAGGACATGGATCTCGGAAACAAAACCGGTAGGTATCTTAAACGCTTAGTGTTTCTAAATACAACTGATCACTTTTAGCGAATTTTCTTATAGGGAAGTAGATTACCGTATGTGGCATGGTAAGACTTAGGCCCGTGTTCCGGGACCAATTTACTTTTTCATTTTGATGTCCAGAGGCCAAAAACGCCAACAGTTCAAAATGTTATATACCTTTTTTTTATGTTATATGTTAAACATGGGAATGGGGTTTTACAGGGGGTTTTATGCGATAGTTTTTTTTTATAAGGGTTTTCTCATTTTTAACTTTCAAAACACAAAATTTCCAACTTTCTAAACCGTTATAAAGATATTAAATACTAATAATTTAATGTATTAAAGCATTTTTGTATGGTTATGGGATACGTAGAAAAAAACTGTGAATTTAAAATTCCCATGTTATTCTTACGGGGAATAGGCCTATGTGTAGAATAGGCCTAAATGTTGTATTTTGCTTGTTTATGGATATATTTTGATCAAACTTGGCAAATTTATTTATTTTATTCTAAGCTATTATTATTTTACTAAAAAACACCCTGTATTAGTCTCTCTGTAGCAGCAAACATAGGTACTCGTTAAACCTGTTATTTAAATAGATTGCATTTAAAATCAATTTAGGCAAATGAAAATTTGCTTAGTCTGCAGGTTTGCTGGAGCGGGGGTATTGTTTATACTTTTTGTAAAGAGGGTTTAAGTCATTTCTCATACTATGAAGTAATGTGACAGCTTTGTAATCAGCTGTTTGTCCTGAAATTTTAATACTTTGTTGTACCGAGGGACAAAATCACCACCCAAGCTGAAGTAAAAATTGCTGTCCTGCAGATATGTAGTAAATAGTATGCTTGAATGTGTACTGTTTAGGTGATCAACAAGAGACTCCCATCAGTGAACTGAAGCAGTACATGGACCAAATGGACAGAGAACTGGCAACCACAGCTGTGGGCAAGAGTTTTGAGAAGATCCAGGCCACTGACAAGAAGGTAATATTATTGACTGGACATTTGTAGCTCTCAGATGATTTTCAATTTATAGTTTTACTTTCCTCCCATCAAGTAACAATTATTTAATGGAACAGCAGTAGCAACGATAAGGTCCCCGAAAACTCAGCAGAGTCAGTTCCTTGAGGTCGAACAAAAAAATTATGTTAACAATTTTTTATTGGAAGAGTTTGTAAAAATTTCCATTTTTACCTGTAAAGGTTAATCCTTCTAAGCATTTGATTGTGCAATTCTTTATTATTGCTAATTGATGAATGGCTATCTCGGTCTATTGGAAAACATCTTGCCGATTTCAGTTCTATTGTTTATGATGCATTACTAACAATGTTTGTGATTGTGGCATGATAATACATAGAAACCATCAAAATAAAAGTGTTTAAAACATACATTCACTTATTCTGTCAGCCTTAAAACTTGTACACTCAACAAACAGGACAACAGCCGAATACTAGCTTAAAAACAAGACAGGACAGATTCAGACAGTTTAGATGTGACAAAACAATATTAGAAAAAATCGGAATGGCAGGACCAGAGTGGTTTGTTCGTGTTAAATTGATATATGAAAGAAAAGTAGTTAAAATCTGGTTTGGGAGAAAAATTTGTGGTTGAGAAGAATTTTACGACCACAAAAGAACTGAACTAGCAAGACATAATCGAAAGTACCTAAAAGAGGATGGAAAGGAGCTTTATTTTGTTAGAAAAGTATTGGAGAGGCTTATGAGCGCACCCAATAGACTGGAGTTGTTAAATCAATGATGATGATCGTTACAAATTCAATGCTCTTTCCCTTACTAGTGGCTAAGCTTTTGATTGGCTGCTGTACATTCCAAAAACTCTAAAACACTTTCTTTGTAATCAAAATCTTGGGACATCAACGTTTTGTTTTGTTCAGGGTATGGAGGACAGCTTTTCCGAGGTAGAAAGCTTCGAACCAGTCAACATAGACATGAATGCTCTGAAGAACATTCTTGCCTCGTACCAAGCCCAGATGGGTGTGGCAGGTCCTGCGTCTACTATGCTGGGGCCGATGGGCGTCAAACTGGACGATGATGACCAGTAGAAACTACATGACAGCGACAGCACAACAATAGATCTCGTAGACTACAGTACTTTGATGGCATCGTTTTTGTTCAAACCAAATCGGTCAGTTATAAATGTCCAACCTTTTTTCTTTTTATCTGTGATATTTTTTTAATGATTGAAGTTAAAAACGCTATATCAATTTGTTAAGCTTAGAGTGGGATTATATTATTTACTAGTCCTTTAGTTTTACTGCTTTATTAGTTCACAAAGTTTGGCAAGTTTAGTTTCTACTTTTTTTATCTTGCTTTTGATAATTTATTAGTTTGTTTGAAATCCATTCTGTTTACTTAGTTAATAATCCTCCAATAGTGTTTTTGAACAAAAAACATTCAGGTTTATTTTCTTGTTAGATTCTAAATTAATTTGAAGTTGTCCAGTTGGCTTGGTTTTTATATGGATGAAGATTTTGCTCAATATTTTTTAATTGTTCTTGGATAACTTTTACTTAATAACTGTTTGCTATTTATTTAGTAATATTAAGTTGTACTTCAAGCTCTATAGTAGATTTCAAGATTATTCCAACCAATGAGTGCCAGCAGGGTTTCTAATTTTATACGTGTCATTTTCACTATTTTTTTACTTTTTAATTTGTAGTATAACCAATGTGCCATTAGGTACAGTTAAGCTTCTAACTTCACACAATTCACACAATTTATTTATCAATACAAACACAATGACAAAGGGCATTTAACACTACAGCCATAATAATGTGACATTTCTAACAGCAAACGAATAACAATTGAATGTAACACCATGATTTACATTATTGTGACAAGATTAGAAGACTAGGTATAAGTTTACAGTTAGAATATATTTGGACATATTGCAATATAGAGAATCACTGAGTTGTTTAGCAGCACCGAAAGTAGCCTATTTCAGTGGCGATTAAACATGGATTCCAAATCGCCACAACATTTTTGACATCAGCTGATATAATTTTATACCCATAGAACTAGCTTCATAATCTAGATTCAGAGGCAAAAATATAGATTTATTGACTCGCCGTATAATATTCCAACAGAGGTTTAAAGAAACCCCAAACTATACTTCGATCTCTTCAGTTTACAATAGATTTTTCAAGTCTTGTTCTAAATACAAATATGATTAACCTATCCAAAACTAGTCTTCGGGTTCTTACTGTAAAATTTCTTTGCTAGATTTATCGTAGAGCACAAATTGTGGTGTGTGTGTCATGAATATTGATAGTTTGTATTTTTATAACACATTTATTGTAAATACAAATAAATTATGTTGTATTTTTATGCTCTTAAAGCGATAGCTATAGTTTTTACTTTATTTTAATACCAGCACAGTTCTAGCCTGAAAGTATTATATAAAATTATTCACATTTAAGATATTGAATTTTCAGGTTAACTCGAGGAACAGTGGAATCCCAATTGCCCATTGTAATGAACTAGGAGGGACTTTTTGCAAGTCAATCAATGTTTACAAATGAACAATCAATTGATTTTTTGGGTCATTGAAGTCAAGTCTTTGAAGGGGTTTTAAAATACTACGCAAGTATATTATTGTAGGAATGTGAGATAGTATGAGATACCTTTACCGCAGCAAACCTGCAGACTAAGCGAATTTTCATTCTTCCAATGTTTTTATTTAATAAAAGTTGGGCATTTTAGCGAATTTCCCTATAGGGAAGTAGCTATTACCGTAGGTCTCATGGTAAGACCTAGGCCTGGGACCGATTTACTTTTTCATTTTGATGTCCCCAGAGGCCAATAACACCATTCGTTAAAATTTTTATATATGTATATATATATATATATTAGTGATGGTCGGATCCGGATATCGGACTACCGGATCCGCCGGATCCGAGCTAGAACCGGTTCCGGATCGGATCCAAAAAATTCCGGATCTTGGGCTGGATCCGGTTTTGATGGATCCGATTTTTTCAAATTTTCCCCCGATTTTTTTCCTAACAAAAAGCTGTATGTATCACTGTACAACCCCGATTTTTTTACCAACACAAAGCTGTCTGTATCACTGTACAACACCAATTTTTTTACCAACACAAAGCTGTCTGTATCACTGTACAACCCCGATTTTTTACCAACACAAAGCTGTCTGTATCACTGTACAACACCGATTTTTTACTAACACAAAGCTGTCTGTATCACTCTACAACCCCGAATGTTTTTACTAGCACAAAGCTGTCTGTATCACTGTACAACTCCGATTTGTTTACTAAACACAAAGCTGTCTGTATCACTCTACAACCCCGAATGTTTTTACTAGCACAAAGCTGTCTGTATCACTGTACAACCCCGATTTGTTTACTAAACACAAAGCTGTCTGTATCACTGTATAACCCCGATTTTTTACCAACACAAAGCTGTCTGTATCACTGTTCAACACCGATTTTTTTACTAACACAAAGCTGTCTGTATCACTGTACAACCCCGATTTTTTACCAACACAAAGCTGTCTGTATCACTCTACAACCCCGAATGTTTTTACTAGCACAAAGCTGTCTGTATCACTGTACAACCCCGATTTGTTTACTAAACACAAAGCTGTCTGTATCACTGTACAACCCCGATTTTTTATCAACACAAAGCTGTCTGTATCACTGTTCAACACCGATTTTTTTACTAACACAAAGCTGTCTGTATCACTCTACAACCCCGAATGTTTTTACTAGCACAAAGCTGTCTGTATCACTGTACAACCCCGATTTGTTTACTAAACACAAAGCTGTCTGTATCACTCTACAACCCCGAATGTTTTTACTAAACACAAAGCTGTCTGTATCACTGTACAACCCCGATTTTTTCCTGATTTTTTTACTAACACAAAGCTGTCTGTATCCATGTACAAGCCCATTTTCCCTGAGTGTTTGTCACTTGATGCACACAACTTATATGGCAAGGCCATGTCTCGATGTTTGTATCTAGATGCAAATAACTTGTATGGCAAGGCCATGTCTCAGTGCTTGCCTCTTGATGCAAATAACTTATATGGCAATGCCATGTCTCAGCGTTTGTCTCTTGACGCAAATAACTTATATGGCAAGGCCATGTCTCAGTGTTTGTCTTTTGATGCAAATAACTTATATGGCAAGGCCATGACTCAGTGTTTGTCTTTTGATGCAAATAACTTATATGGCAAGGCCATGACTCACTATTTGTCTCTTGATGCAAATAACTTATATGGCAAGGTTATGACTCAGTGTTTGTCTTTTGATGCAAATAACTTATATGGCAAGGCCATGTCTCAGTTTTTGTCTCTTAATTCAAATAACTTATATGGCAAGGTCATGTCTTAGTGTTTGTCTCTTGGTGCAAATAACTTATATGGCAAGGCCATGTTTCAGTGTTTGTCTCTTGATACAAATAAATAACATATATGGCAATGGCATGTATCTTTCCGAACTGAATCCGACCCGATTTTTCGGATATCTTCACACCTCTAGTTTTTAGTTTTGTACCTGGATGATAAGCTAACGGCCTATGATTTCGTCTCAAAAATATCCCGTTAGTATTTTAATCTCAACCGATGCTTCGTGATAAAAAATAATAAAAGTATGATTTAAATTGGCATTCTGTTAATTACGTTTTTTTTTAACCCGCCCTTATGACAGTGTGTATCTGGATCCGGATCCGAATTTTTCAAGATCCGGATCCGGTACCGACATTTTCTTGGATCCGCCCATCACTAATATATATATATATATATATCTATATATAGAGATATATATGTATATCCGTCTGGACGATAACTTGAGTAATTTTTGTCCAATTTTGATAAAATTTGGTTTGAAGGTGTAAGGCGGGATAAACTTGAATGAGTTCGCGAAGCAGCATGATCAGACCATGGGAACGTGGTTTAAGGGGGTAAAAATGGGGTTTTCAAATGTTTTGCCCTTAAAACACAAAATTTATCAATTTTTCTCCAGACCTTTTCAAAAGAGCTTAAAAAAACAAATAACTTAGTATATCAAAGTGTTTTTGTACAGTGATTGGTTAAGGAGAAGATTCAAAAAAATTTATTTTAAAATTCCCATGTATTCTTATGGAGAATATTTAAAATGTTGTAGTATGCTTTTTTATGGATATATTTTGATCAAACTACTTGGTTAATTTATTTACTTTATCCTAAGTTATTAATATTTTACTAAAAAACACACTTTTTTACCCTCCCTGTAGCAGCAAGCCTATGTACTCATAAAACCCAATGTTAATTAAATACATTAATTGAAAATCAATTCAAGCAACTGGAAATTCGCCTAGTAGGCAGGTTTGCTGCGGCAGGGGTATTTTACTTTTAAGGTAAAAATGAAAAAAAATGTTAATTAATAAACCCATAATATAACAACCTTGTTCCTACAACCCAACCTTTCTGGTTCGTGGAATCATTTAAGTGTACTCCTACACGTTTATGCCAAATTCAATCAAAACCAGACAAAAATTACCTGAAAAATTACACTTGAATGAATAGTAGTGTTTTTTATCTCTGGGGACATCAAAATGAAAAAGTAAATCGGTCCGTGTCCAGGTCTTGCCGTGCTACCAACGGTAATAGCTTCTTCCGTATAGGAAAATTCGCAAGAAAGAGAAAAGGATAATACTAGTCCAATCTTAACCATTGTTGATTTTAATGTCTTCCTTAAAAGACTTGAGTTTAGGAAATATTGGATGTAGCTAACATGCCTTTGCATCTTGCAGTCAGTTTTCTTACGTAATATTTAAAAATATAAAAGGTTTAGTTTAACTGTTGTGTCAATTGATCCTTGTGTTATAAATAAAATAACTACAATTGTTTCGTGCTACTAAGCAAGCACATCTTCAGGTCGGAAGAACGTTTAAAAAACAGTTTTCTCATCCGTGAATAAGGTCGTCAGCACATTAGGACACATAACTTGAAACGCATATGAAACGACATGTAGTTATTTACAATAAAAAACTTGGCCAAGTAGTCCGAAAACAAGGTGCGTAACCGGTTGATGATGAGTTATGACTTATCATCAACCAGTTACCCACCTCGTGTTTGGACTACTTGGCCAAGTTTTTTATTGTAAATACCTAAATGTCGTTTCGTATGTGTTTCGTGTTATCTGTCCGAAATGTGCTGACTTATCATCAGCCGGTTACGCACCTCGTGTTTGGACTACTTGGCCAAGTTTTTTATCGTAAATACCTAAATGTCGTTTTGTATGTGTTTCGTGTTATGTGTCTTAAATGTGCTGACCACCTCATTCACGGATGAGAAAAGCTTTTTTTCTCCCAACCTCCAGCATTTTTGATGCATCGCACACCCCTACTATTTTTAAAGAACAATTTTGAGAAATTCTGGAAAAATGATGAATTATGTGAGAAGAGTTATGATTTGAGAAAATTACAAATATTTTCTTCTACTTTCCACAAAACAAAGTTTTATGAAAAACATCTTTATTACAATGGAAGAAAATTATTTAACAAATTACCATCTAATAATCAAAACTTAAAATGAAAAGAATACAAAAAAAAATTAAAACAAATACTGAAGATCGGATCTACTCTATTGAAGACTTCAATGAAAAATGCATCAAAATTTAAAAATGAAATTATAAAGCGTTTAATTTAATACTACTAAACCTAAGTTAAAAATTAATTAATTGTACTGTCGATGAAATATTTATTGTCAAGACAATTAAGTATTTATTTATTTATATTTTCAATTATCTTGATCCAGAGGCTAACCCATCATGTAATATTTTATCCAATTACAGACCTAAAACTATGTTTTGTAAGGACAAATAGTCACAAGACAAAACCAAGGTAGATTAACCTCTTATTTATATGTTAAGTGACTCAAGACACAAAAATGAAATCTTTTGTTTTCAATTAAATTTGATTTAGTTTTATGTAACACATGTTTCAGTATTGGCTCCTGCTTTTTTTCTGTCTTCCAACACTACTAGATATATTGACATTTATTCTGAGACTACCAATAAGGTGGTAAATGGATGAACATATTTGGTGTATCGGCAGCTCATTCGGCAATTAGCAGCTTTCTGTACTATAAACAGTACAAGGAAGCCAACTTTGTCGGGTGACTGTTGGAAAAGGAAATTTACTGCCAGTCTTTTACAAAAAAATAATGTTTGCTATCACTCACCATTGAATGGTAACACTAATTATTAAAAGCCATGAATGTATTCAAAATGCAAGCCTGTGTGACTATCTAAAAATATATTGATTAGTGTTGGAAGAAATTGGAATTTTATCTATATTCAGCTCAATGCTAATCGAGAAGTTATTTTGTTCAGTGTGCATATTAAGTGATTTTCCCCTTCCTCGCATAACAATTAGAATAATATGAAGCCTTTATTATTGTGAATGCAACTGGGAATTCATGACAGTTGTAAGAATAAGTGCCTGTATATACAATGTGTTAGGTTATGTTTATATTTATATGTTAATGTATTCCTATTTTCATTCAACTGTAAACATCAGTTACCTTCTGAAATTTATTTTAAGTCTTTGTATTGTAGAATTTAATTGATAGCTTGTATTAAGTCTTAAGATTTCTTTTCTTTTACATATGTTATATATAAATGATTGAGATAATAAAAATATATCAAACAAAATGGAGTTTTATTATAATTTCGTATATTTCCATAGTGTGGTTTTAAAGTGTTTGTAGGAAGTATAAGTTAAGATTTACTAGTTCTCAGGTGAAAAAGTTAAATTTGTTCTCGCCTTGTGGTCCAAGTTTCTACTTGACTGATTTTGCGCATTTCGGCACTTCAGCCATCATCACATCATTGTACAAGAACTAATCTTGCCTGAAAAGGTGTGTCAGAAGTTCAACAACAAATAAAACACACTAATGTTATTCAACACGTTCGCTACCAGGCGACGCACATTTGTGTCGGTCCAGTCACTCCCACAGACCAAATGGTGTAGGAATAGCATTACCGACAGACAAAAAAAGGATTTTTTTTTTAAATTGACTAATTCACTACTATTAACATAAAGTTAATAAGGAAGCAAAAAATATTGCTTTTATTTATCGTTTTGAGCAACTTTTAAAACACCCCATATACATGTCGGTCAGTCTATTTAATGAAAACCAGTAAAAGAGATTGAATTTCTGTTTCAATAGACCAAGCAACGCATGTATGCGTTGTTGTGATTTGCTTGTTTAGGCTTGTTTGAAGGTAAAGTTCAAACAAATAAATACTGTTTGATATAAACTACAAAGGTTAGCACGTTTACATCTGTTCAGTGATGCCCTGGAAAATACAATACAATATTCTTTATTGTTCATTCGTTAAGAATTACAATAGTGTCAATACAATAGTGAATACAATAGTCAATACAATACAATAGTATGTGTTAATTTCAATAATTTTTGTAAAATTCCTTTATTGTGTAGAAGGGTCTTGCGATTAGCCACTTCTTCAACTCCTGGTGTAGCTTGTTGCCAGTCAGGTCTCTCAGGTAGTCAGGTAGATGGTTCCTCAGTTTGCAGCCGGTGTAGGAAGGTTTTTTTCCCAAAGAGTGAACTGGTAGGGCAAATTTGGAGCCATGACGGGTGTTGTAGTGGTGCAGGTCTTGGTTTCTTGGGGGGTTTATTTCATCCACATACTTTATGGTTTCAAGTATGTAGAGAGACACCACTGTGAGAATTCCTAGGTTTGCGAATGCTAGTCTGCAAGTCTGTGGTGGGACAAGGTTGGCGAGGGCTCTTATGGCTTTCTTCTGAAGAACAAGGATTCGATTCATATTTTTTGTTGAAGTTCCTCCCCACACTGTCAAGCCATATCTAATATGCGACTCTACCAGTTCAAAGTAAGCTGTTTTGGCCACAGAGAGTCCGCCTATGTAGTTTATTCTTCTGACGACATATATTCCGGCACTGATTTTTTTGCTTAGGTGGTTGATGTGCTCTTTCCATATTAGTTAAAGTTTGTTATCAAGGATAACACCGACAAATTTTGTATGGTTTTCTATTGTTACATCCTCTAATTGAGGGACTCTGTCTTTTTTCTTACTGAAATTCAGAGTTGTAGTTTTTGTGGGGTTT